CGCGGTGATCGGCGGAGACATACATGGAGAGCATGTCGGTGAGAGTGCGATTGAGGCGCTCCGTTAGACCATTTGTTTGTGGATGGTAAGCAGTCGAGAGCTTGTGTTTAGTGGCGCAGGAGCGGAGGAGGTCATCAACCACTTTGGAAAGGAAGTAGCTGCCTCGGTCGGTAAGGAGTTGTCGAGGGGCGCCATGATGTAAGATGACGTCCTCCAAAAGGAAATCGGCCACGTCAGTTGCACAGCTGGTTGGAAGGGCCCGTGTGATCGCGTATCGGGTAGCATAATCGGTTGCTACTGCAATCCACCGATTACCCGCAGCTGACGTAGGAAAAGGGCCAAGCAGGTCCACGCCAACACGGTAGAATGGGTCTTGTGGGATGTGCAGTGGCTGAAGACGTCCGGCCGGAGGGGCATTTGGTTTTTTTCCGTCGTTGACAAGGGTCGCAGGCTGCAATATAACGGCAGACGTCGCGGTACATGCCAGGCCAGAAGAAGCGCCGGCGAACTCTGTCGTAGGTCCGTGACACGCCGAGGTGACCCGCTGTAGGTGCATCATGAAGCTGGGCGAGAACAGTGTGACGCAATTGAATGGGAACGACGAGTAGTCTTTCGGGGCCGTCAGGACGCATATTGCAACGGTACAATACACCATCATGTATTTCAAACATTCGAAGGGAAGGGTCGGGCCTCACCGATGTGAGCCTTCGGATAATACCGTCCAAGAAAGTATCTCGTCGCTGCTCGATTCCAATGTCATGAAACGCGGATAGAGAGAAAACGTCGATAGGAAGGGTGGTTTTAGAGGAGTCGCCGTCTGGAGGGTCGACAGGATACCGGGACAAGCAGTCCGCATCTTGATGCAGGCGGCCGGTTTTATACAGGACTGAGTAATCAAATTCTTGAAGGCGCAGCGCCCAACGGCCAAGACGGCCTGAAGGGTCTTTAAGGGACGAAAGCCAGCACAAGGCGTGGTGATCTGTGATTACTGTGAATGGCCGGCCGTACAAATAGGGACGAAATTTACCGACTGCCCAAACAAGTGCCAAGCATTCCCGTTCGGTTATTGAATATTTTCTTTCAGCAGGCGAAAGAAGGCGGCTGGCATAAGCAACAACACGGTCTCGTCCTTGTTGTTTCTGGGCGAGTACTGCACCGATGCCATAGCCACTTGCGTCTGTACGAACTTCTGTTGGAGATGAAATATCAAAGTGGGCGAGGATAGGCGGAGACGTAAGCAGACACACTAGATTTTGAAACGCATCTGCTTGCTCAGGGCCCCAGATGAAGCCAGCGTCTTTTTTGAGAAGTTGAGTGAGAGGGCGTGCTACGTCGGCGAAGTTTTTAACAAAGCGGCGGAAGTAAGAACAGAGGCCAACGAAACTGCGAACGTCTTTGGTACAGGTTGGTACAGGGAAATCTCTTACTGCGCGTATTTTATCTTGATCAGGGCGAACCCCCACGGAATCAACGAGGTGTCCGAGGACAGAAATTTCACGACGGCCGAAGTGGCACTTTGCCGAATTGAGTTGCAGGCCCGCCTTACGAAAGACAGATAAGATTTTCGATAGCCTTTCAAGGTGCGTCGCAAAAGAAGGCGAAAAAAACGATAACGTCGTCCAGGTAGCACAGGCAGATGGACCACTTGAAGCCGTGCAACAGAGCGTCCATCATACGTTCGAATGTGGCGGGCGCATTACATAAACCGAATGGCATCACTTTAAACTCGTAAAGGCCGTCGGGAGTGATAAACGCCGTCTTCTCACGGTCCATGTCATCAACGGCAATCTGCCAGTACCCAGAGCGGAGGTCAATGGAGGAAAAATATTTTGCGCCGTGAAGGCAATCCAGGGCATCGTCTATGCGTGGTAAAGGGTAGACGTCCTTCTTCGTTATTTTGTTTAAATGGCGATAATCGACGCAAAATCTCCAGCTGTTGTCCTTCTTCTTTACAAGTACAACAGGGGACGCCCAGGGACTGCATGAAGGCTCGATGATATTCCGAGAAAGCATTTTGTCGACCTCCTGTTGGATGATGCGCCGCTCTGCATGGGAAACACGGTAGGGTCTCCGATGGATGGGACTCGTATCGCCTGTATCAATCCGGTGCTTAACAACGGACGTCTGGCCGAGTGGGCGGTCGCCAAGGTCGAAGATGTCCCAAAAAGATGCAAGCAGGGAACGCAGTTCGTTAGCTTGTTCTTTCGGCAAGTCGGGGTCAATCATCTTGGTTAACACACTTTGGTCTGATGGAGGAGTAGACGAAGTTTTTTCGGCACTCGGGATGCTGTCATAACTTAGAGTGCAAATATGGCACTCTGCCGCCGGCACGATCTCGGCTAGAGATATACCACGAGGGAGGACTTGTGTACATAGTGAAAAATTCACTAAGGGTAGGCAGGATGCATTGGCCGTAATAGTGATGACGGTGTGAGGAAACGCAACGTTGTGCGAAAGCAGGACGTCAACATTGGGGGACACAATATAAACACCGTCTGGGACAGGTGGAACAGGGGAGACGCCTATGTAAGCTACTGTTCGTTGAGGGAGACGCAGGTGTTCTGTAGAACAAAGCCGACTTGGAGGGCAACTTGGAGGATCAACAACATTAGGTAGAGCGAGTTGCACTATACCGGCAGAGCAGTCTATCAAGGCCGAATGTTCAGACAAAAAGTCTTGGCCCAAAATTATGTCATTAGGGCAGTGTTCTAAAACATAAAACAGAACTGATGTGTGGTGTCCGGCGACGCTGACGCGAGCTGAGCACACACCAATTACGGCGACTTTTCCACCATCGGCCGTTCGGACCACAGGAGTTGGGCCAGGAGTAAGGACTTTCTTCAGCCGTGCTCTAAGGTCAGCGTTCATGATAGACACGTGTGCGCCAGTGTCAATGAGGGCTGTAGTAGGTACACCGTCGACGTCAACATTGATAAGGTTCTGATGTGCGGGCAAGGTCAGTAGAGGATTTTGGGATCGGGTCGGTATTGCAGCATCACCTCCAAGAGCTGCTCCCGTCAGTTTTCCGGAGGTGAACGCCGGAACGAGCTTGGGGACGGCGATCGGCGAGATGGGGGCGAGCGGGAGAAACGGCGTTGTGGCGAAGGGGAGCGGCTGGATCGGGGGCGCGAGGAATTCTCAGGCGTTAGCGGCTCTGTTTTCGGTGATGAGCGTGAATTCCAGACAGGTGGGCGATGGGGCGGAGGGTGAGGCCACGGAGCAGAGCTGGACCAAGCACGGCAGTGACGCGAAATGTGGCCTATACGACCGCAATTGAAGCATATCGGCCGGTCGTCTGGGGTGCGCCATACCGCCGGGTCGCGATAATGTGGGCTGGCAGAAAAACGTCGGTTGGGCGGAACAGTCACGGGTGGATTTGGTGTGGCGTAGTCTGGACGATGAATGGAGCAGACGTTTAAGCCGGCGTTGGCCAGTTCTTGCCTCACGACGGTCTGTATGAGAGAGACGGTGGCGTGATAGCTTTCGGAGTTGGGGGAGGCTGACACGAGTGGAGCTGCGGCTTCTATTTCCCGACGGACAATACGGACAACGTCACCGGGACTTTCCGTAGAAGGCAGGCGAGGGTCTTCGCATGTGGATGTTGCAGCCGTGTTTGGAAGCCGGGCAAACTGGTGGAGAACACGGCGGCTCTTCGCTTCTTCAAAGCGCCGGCATTCAGAAATAATGTCGTGGACCGTAGATGAATTCTTGAACACAAGAAGGTGAAAGGCGTCATCTGCTATGCCCTTAATAATATGGCCAACCTTATCGGCTTCGGACATCTGCGAGTCTACCTTGCGGCACAAAGCGAGCACGTCCTGAATGTACGTGAGGTATGATTCGGTGCACGTCTGAACTCGACGTGCGAGCTCGTTTTGGGCGGCGCGTTGACTTCCCACAGGCCTGCCAAATAGCTCCCGGAGCTTTTGCTTGCATAACTCCCAGCTAGTCAGTTCTTCCTCGTGCGTCTCGTACCAGACCTTTGCGGTACCTCTGAGATAAAAAATCACGTTGGCCAGCATGAGCGTTGGATCCCATCGCATACGTACACCCACTCGTTCGTATGACTTCAGCCAGGCTTCTACGTCAATGCCATCAGTGCCAGAAAAGGTACCTGGATCTCTCGGGGGCTCCAAGATGAGGGTTGACGGTCCAGTTGGAGAAAGCACGGACGTAGTTGGAGAAGGCACGGTAGTCGGGGAAGGGTCGGCATTGTTGACTGCAGTCGCCATGGGGGAGACCACTAGGCGCCCGCTACGAAGCTCCGTTTTGCGTGAAGTGAGTACCCCGCACCTCCACCAATGATGTTACGGGAGAATAACTTTACTTTATAAAACGAGGAATAAACTCGGTGGTGGACAAGATGGCGCCCAGTTGGCTCACAGATCTGACAACATCGTCCTCCTCTTTGTCTTCTTCGTCGTTCTCATCCTACCGTTACAATATATAAGTAAGTACAAACAGGGAAATAGAGAAAGATAAGTTAAGAGAAAAAAGGGGAACACATAGTGAAAAAGAGATATAAAGGAACAGATGCACTCAAAAATAGTAAAACGAAGTAAGACAGAAAGATAAAGAAAGTGATAGAAAGCAAGGAGAGGCGAGAAAGAGAGGGAGAAAAACAGGTGGACAGCAAAAAAAAAAATATAGATAGGCTCTACAGACAGAACAAGTAAAAACAGAGAAGTCGAGGAAAAAAGAAGGGTAAAAATGAAGAGGAACGAGGAAGGCCGAATTTCATGGCCGGTGATTCTAGGTTTGCAACACAAGTGCGAGCTGCGCCAACTTTCCTATCTTTTCTTTTCCGTCTTCTTTTTATCATATCTTCGGACACTGCTTTTGTACTTTCCTTTTCCCTTATCATTCATTGCTCGGCCATCCCGTCATTGCGGGCGAACGCCACTCGAAGGCTCACCAAAGAAGAAGAATAAAAAAAAAAACCCCGGCCGCTTCTGGAGCGATCATCCGTAGCGGGTACGAGCCACCGATTAGACCCGACGATGAGTTCCTCGCCGGCAACGCCACGCCGTCATGATATTCGGGTCGACGACAGCGTTTCCTTCCTCAACAGTGACGGCCACAAGATCGCCTGCAAGTCCTGGAGTGCCGACGGGGCAGAGCCAAGGTCGTGAGATGATGTGTGCTGTTGTCGCTTTTTGTACGGCTGTACGGGGGAGTAGGCCTCGCGGGCAACTTTTTCTTGGCGAAGAAGCCAGAGTGGCGGAGATAAAACTCGGGTACCTCGGCCGTAATGAATGTTATCCCGCGACTGGGTCTGTATTTTCAGCGTGAGATACGAAAAAACCTCGCAGAGTCCCTTGCGCGTTCACCTAAGAACACTCGAAGGCGAAAACCAACTTCTTTTTTTTTTCTCAGACGATGTTTATGCGGCAACAGAACACGAGCTCTGACTTCACGTGCCACTGCCAAACGTGGTCTTCATTTTCTTGTCGCGAGGTCACGCCCTCCCCTGACCCCTTCGTCTCTGCCTTCTCTCCCAGCAACCACAGCAGTGCCTCTAGAGTGTCCAACAGAAAACTACGAACGCTACAAATGCGAAAAGCACGCGGGCGCACCGGATGTGCCAAGACGCTTGGGCAGCTCGGGCACTGTTGCACCGTATCGAGCAGCCGTGACTCGGCTACGCTGAAAGGGTACGCCGGTGGCGTCTGTTCGTGGAGCGCGCACCTGCGAAAGTGGACAAGCGATACGGCGTTCGCGATACTTTCACAAAAGAGAGAGGACTGCACATTGACATGAATGGCGCTACTTTAGTTTTTTTTCATGGACTTTACACAAGGGAGGGCGCTACAACTACATCTTGTCGCGTTACGTCACATCAGGTCACGCTAGACTTCCAGACTTCACGTTGACGCCCCAAATTTTTACGATCTGTGACGTAAAGATGACGTCATCGCGTGTCTATTTTTTTTCTGTGCATCACGCGTCCCTTACGCCGCGCAGCGCCAACGGACGAATTTACCGTTTGATAAAGCACCCAAGGCGCTCACCTTAAAGATACACTGCGTGTCGCTGCGTCTCTCATAATCATATAGTGGTTTTGGGACGTTAAACCCCACATATCAATCAAAACAACACTGCGTGTCGCTCTTTAAGACTGGATGTAGCACACCAGGAAGCACCAGGCAGGTTGCGCACCAGGCAGCACCAGGATGCAGCGCTGCTTCGATATTATACGTTGTCACTTGGCGATTTCTTTTTTATAGCGCCTTTACCGTATACCTGGGAACGCTAAGCGGCGTTCGCGCTCATATGAACCGCTGATTGTGCGCAGCCATCGCTTTCGACAGCGGCGCGAAACGCGCGCCACATCGGAATTCTTCGCACGCATCAGTGGAGCCACAGCCACGTCTGTGTAAAAGCGCGCGAACAGCCAGTGTTTCGCTCTGCGGGGCGAAACCTTTAGGCAGTTTCGGGCTCTGAAGTGGTGTATCAGGAGCATGCGTGGCCTATAGTTGTGCAGGCTGGCCATGCCAGAGCCCGATGCATGCCCCAGGGTTTCTCACTGCAGAGCAAGAAACCGCGGCTGTGCGCGCGCTTTACACAGACGTGGCCAGCTCCCCGCCCCCGCATGCAGCTTTCTCTTCACTTCCAGGAAAAGTTATCCGCGAGTATAGGCCTACCCCAAGTGAAGTCGTCAGCAGCAAACTCGAACGATCCGGAGCGTGGCCTGGACTGGTTTGGCTTATGCCAGGGACGGAGCGCTGGGCGCTGTTGCCGAGATATCTCAGCCTTCTTGGATATACTTATTAGTATGTCGACATGCATTGGTGACATCTCGGCAATAGAACCCGAAACCTACGTGGCCCCAGCGTCCATCAAATCATTTTAGGACTCACTGCGGAGCGTTTGCATTAATCTTGCTGACGACTCTGCACAGATCGCCTTCAATAAGAGTTATAACATGTTGCCTGCTGTCAAAGTAGGCGTGCGTGGAGAGAGAGAGAAGACATTTTATGAAGTACATTTAGGCAAAGCATGTGGGAAGGAACCCAGGTCTGGGTTCCCTATGACGATCTCGGTGACCAACCGGGCCCTTTGAACCAAGGCTTGGTTGACCTCGGAAGGCCCGTCGCAGAAGGCATCGTGCCACAGCTCTTTGGTGCGGAAAGGGGAGCAGGATAGAGGGAAGGGTAGGAAATAATTTTGTGGCGCACTCCACCGTGACATGAAATGCGGAATTCTCTATTAGGAGCGGGCTGGGGCAAAGAGTTTCACTGTTTGCTGAATGGCGATGTTGAATGGTTAATGACATATTGTAGCCGCAAAATGTTGTGCGTTGCTTTGCTCTATACGTATGCATGCTATGTCGCGTCAAATTGTGTCATTAGACAAGTACCGACTGGGCCAACAAACGGTCTTCGTGAATGATGTTTGTTGGAATCGGAGACACGCAACGGAACCGTCACTTCGCCCAGGGCGTTGGTGTTCCTGGCACATGGCTACGCCGAGCACTGCCACGACCCGGCCTACGACACCCTGGCTCGAGCTTTGGTCCGGATCGGCTGCTACGTGTTCGCCCACGACCACGGCAAGTTACAACGTGGCCTCATTTGTAACAACAGTGCCTCATTTCACTTGTCTGAATGAATGAGTGGCCTCATTTCGCTTGTCTCGAATATCGCGCGACCAAGACACGAGGGCATCGTGGAGACTTTCCAGCCTCCACGATGTCACCTTATATGCTACTCCACAGGTATACTTCATGTGCTACCTTTAGGTAGTACAGTTGCGCGTAGGGAAAGCGCCGAGTGAATCGCTAACTCATCTTAATCCGGTAGCGCGCAAACAGCGATAGCTCAAAGGAAGGGATGCATAACACAGCACCAATACATATATATATCGGCGGCGGCAGCAGCGTCCATACCGTAACTGAACAAAAAAAAATAGGCAAAAAAATATAACCGTCTCTCACGACAAAAAGTACAGTGATCAAAATCGGCTCTCAGTTCTAGTTCTACACGACTCAGACCGAGTGAAATAATCTGGTAAAAATTTCATTTGCGCGGCAAAAGAGTGCGTACCATCCCAGCACATTGAAAATTTGACAACGCGGCGCCTCACGTGTTGAATTGCGGGCGGTGGTGATCACATATCCTGGGAAACCCCGAGCTTTGTATAGTGAGGTGCTGCAAGTTTGCCCAAATGTTGTATGCTGCGTCTGCGCTGCACAGTATCGAGAGTCGAGTTAGTTGACCAGTTTTCTTCGTCAGCTGCACAGATCAGCAAAAAAAAAGAGAAAAAAAAACTGGAACTCACTCAGAATCACTTAAGAAGTAAACGTTTTCCTCGGATGGCTCAGTCGGACTTAAACTCACCAATAAACATTATTCAACCGGACTCACCCAGTCTGATACTCACTGCCCTATTTGAGTCTGTGTGAGTCTTAGCTATATAGTTTGCCATCTACGATGAGTTGTATTACATTTCCACAACAATTTCGCAAAGAAGTTGGCGTGCTTGCTTATCCTATTGGGACAGTATTGAGAGGAAACAAAATTTAGCGGCATCGGAGGTAGTTGGGTTATACGCGACGGAGGAGAAACAAAGACGCGCAAACACAAGTGATGTACCAGTTCACGTGCTTCGTCTGTACTACACATGACCAAGCGTGAACTTACCCGTATACACTTCAAAGTTCTCAGAGGCAGTCACACGGACGTCACGTAGTCATGTTAACAGGCGTCTATTGTTAATTTCAGCATGACAACAAAACAATACCACTCCCGAAACCAAACTAAACTAACCCGACCCAATCGAATTTGTCTGTCGCAGTCGGTCACGGAAGGAGCGATGGTCCACGGGCAACCGTGACGTCAGCCGACGTGTACGTGGAAGACATCCTGGGTCACGTGGATCGGGTGCGCGCGAAGTTTCCGGGCAAGCCTGTCTACCTCATCGGCTACTCCATGGTTAGTGCGTCGTCATGCAACCTAGAAGACAGTTCTTGCCCGGGTCACTTGACGATGAAGAAATTCACAGGGGATCTTATGCCTTTCCATGAGAATACTTGAAGACGAAAGCCGTCTTTTTCTTGGTTGCTAACGTGGACATTTATTTATTTATTTACTTATTGTTACTGCATTCTCAAGCAGAGACTATAGCAGGTGTGATACATTGATACATGCTATAAAAAAAAAGGCACAATAGTTAAAAAAAACACATGAAGTGAAAAATACAATGCAAACAGATAAAACAATACGGTTAAGAAAATGAACAAAAACACAACGGAATTTAACATCAAATAGTAAGTGTAGAAGGCAAGAGTACAAGAACAAGCTCAATAAACACAAAAAAAGAATATAATATCAATGAGAAAGTTTATCGAATTGAAACAGGGTAATGCAATAAATTGGAACGCACAATAAAAAGAAGTATATTAAACGGTGCTAACGAGCTATTGCAAATATTTTTCAAACAAGGAAAGCGAGCGTTGCGTTACAATATTGTCGGGGAGGTTATGGGCAGAAGGATGGCACACCATCGATGTGTCATCTTTGTTCCTGTGGTCTGGTCAACATATATGATGACGAGGACACATCAGCACAAGTATACTTGTGTTGATGCCAGTGCGCCAACCCTCCTCACAATAAGCAACCAACTAGACCGAAGGATTAGATGAGGGCTTGTTGGTATTACATCGTCCTTTTTCTGTGCTATACTCGCACACCAGGACAAAACAAAAAAAAAAAAGGCAAATGTGTGGACGTATGTGCCCTGTCTTTTAGTTTTGTCCTGGTGTTTCAGAACAGCACAGCAAAAGAACGAAACCAGCTATAGCTCAGACAACCCCTCTTCTCGAGTTGCTTTTCTTCTCCATCGATGTGCTCATCCTGACATTAAGGGCGCAGAGGAGCAAGCGTTATTAGTAGAGATGAAAGGTGGAAAAAAAGAAATTGCTTAGTAACTGTCCTGGACATCATGGTGATTTCAACGGCGGTCTGGAGGACGGTAACTGAGAATAAAATAGTGAGACAGACAGTTTAGAAGAGAGGTAAAACAAACTCAAAATGCGCAAGCATTCGTCCGCAGCCTGCGCTATGGGAAGCCTAAGTAAGGCATTCACTAGTTTATAGCAACACTGGCTAATGTCGATTAAGTGTTGGTTAACGTCGGGAGCTCTTGGCCTATTTCAAAAGTGTTGACAGTTGGGCGAGTTGGGAGCGCCCTCACTATGCATGCATTGGATAATGATGACTGCCAAAGTAGTTGTGTGCCAATGCTGTGTGTTTAAATTGCGAAGCATAATTACCAATTGTTCTTTGTTAGCTGAATATAGTTTACGTTTTCGCTAACATTAATTTAGCGACTGTTGTAATTACTATTGCTGGTATTGTTTGTTTAATGCTGTTCCCACTTCTGCTTAGGCCCGAGCAGGGCCTGCAGTATTTCTAAATAAAGTAATAATAAAAAAATCACTCATCCTGCAGGCCCTGCTAAATCACCACGGAATATTTATTTCTATGAATTATGTTCCCTTTGAGAATGAATTGTGAGCTTCTATAACTGTAAATAACGCACTACAAGACACCTAAAAACATCTATTTACGCAAATAGGAGGTTTCCATTGTGCAAACCTTTAAACAAACCTCTAAACCGAAATAGTACTTATCACCTTCCCCTATTCTATATTTCCTGGTATCGGCACGAAAATGTGAGGACTTCGATTCGCGTTCATTCACTAATGACCCGATATCGAACAGTCATGATGTCTCGCTTGTGAGTGTCTGACATCAATCGCACACTGTGTCCAGGGCGGCCTTCTCGTCCTGCTGGCTGTACAGCAGCGGCCCGAGGATTTCGCCGGCGTGGTCCTGCTCTCACCCTTCTTGGGTCTTCAGCAGGTCTCGCGGTTCAAGGTAAAGTCTTCGCCGTTCCTGCAAGGGTGCGATCCGCGGTTTACGTGCGAGAACCACCGTGCGATTACAACGCGCGCCCATAGTGAGTGACTGTGGGTTAATTTTGACCCCATGGAGTTCGTGTGCACAGATTGTTTGGTAAAGTAAAAAGTTGGGCGAGTTGGTGCTGGTTCATGATGATAAGGGGCGCGAAAAAAACGACACACAACAGAGAAGAAGTACACGGGACGACGCGCTACTAGCAACTGGAATTTTTTATTCAGGAAACACCATTTATACCGCAGTGACATCAAATTTAACCCGACGAATCGACCAAAAACTAAAAATAAAAATACATGCTCAGCATGCCTATAAGTAACGTTGCAGATAGGCTATCTCCCCTTCCTGCAGACTGATAGAGGGGTGGCTGATGCAATCAGGCCCCTCCCTCTGGATAAAGAGGGCTTCTATAATCTCCCTCTCCGCTGAGCCCCTGTGCCTGTAGATTACAGTTGTCTGCTCAAATGCCGGCTTACAATTACCCTGATCGCATCCTCTGCAATGCATCGCCAGATGCGTGAACGGCCTTCCTATTAAAGAGCTGCTGTGCTCTCGCAACCGCACGTTGAGGCATCTACCAGTTTGCCCTATGTATGCCTTGCCGCATGACAGTGGTATTCTATATACAACACCACGTGCGCAAGGAACGAACTGCCTTACGTGCTTAATGGCACATCCTCTTTTTTCACACTGCTTTGGCCTACCTGTCTTCTTACCAACCGCTGAGCAGATGCGGCCCACCTTGTTTCCTGCGGAGAACACGAGATCCACCCCATACCTCGAAGCCACTCTCTTAAGGCCGTGCGAAAGCCAGTGGATATACGGGATTTTTGACACTCTTTTTCTTCCCTGCGGGACATTCCTGTCTAGGCCTGTCCCAGGCCGTTGCTTAATGGACTTTTTTATTTTTTCGCAAGCAGCAGCTAAGACACTATCAGGAAACGCCGCGTCTCTTAGTCTTTCCACCTGCGCGAAAAAACTTGTCTCCATAAGATGTGGGCATGATCTGTCCAACGCCGTTTTTAGGCACGTCATGGCAATGCCATTTTTTACTAGGCGAGAGTGCCCCGAGCTGTGATCAAGAAGCGGCTTCGCGGTCCTAGGGGAAAACTTCCAACACACGTGTTTTTGTTGGAATGACAGCTGCAAATCCAGAAAACGCAGCTTTCCATTCTTCGGCACTTCGCACGTGAATGTCAAGCCCCGCCCCTTATTCCCAAACACACTGAGCACTTCATCAACTCTGCTATCAAAGTTGTCTGAATTAATCAACAGCAAGTAGTCGTCCACATATCTGTACACTTTTTGGACCAAACCATCAAGGCCAGTTACAAGATCGTTGTCAACTCTGGCTAAAAAAAGGTTGCTCAGTACTGGAGCCACTTTGGATCCAATACAGATCCCTGATCTCTGCACAAAGTTCTTACCCTTCCAGCCGACGTACGTGTGTTTTATGTAAAAGAACAATAATTCTAAAAAACTTTGAACAGAGATGCCGCACTTGGTCACAAACTTCATTTCATCATTGTTGCCAATGCACTCTTTCACACTAGTCATCAGTTCATCATGAGGCAGTGAATAATATAAGTCTTCTATGTCGATGCTAAATCCTGAAGTGTTCTCATGGACATTTCCTTTAAGGAAATCCACTACCGTAGACGAGTTCGGAATGATGAACGGGTCCTCCACTTTCAGTGAGCTCAACTGCGACTGAAGATAGGTAGACACCGCAAGACACCAAGTGCCTCTCTCCGACACGATCGCACGGAAAGGAAAGTCTGGTTTGTGTGTTTTCACTGAAAACTATGGAGACATTCTTTTGTCTCCATAGTTGAGCTCACTGAAAGTGGAGGACCCGTTCATCATTCCGAACTCGTCTACGGTAGTGGATTTCCTTAAAGGAAATGTCCATGAGAACACTTCAGGATTTAGCATCGACATAGAAGACTTATATTATTCACTGCCTCATGATGAACTGATGACTAGTGTGAAAGAGTGCATTGGCAACAATGATGAAATGAAGTTTGTGACCAAGTGCGGCATCTCTGTTCAAAGTTTTTTAGAATTATTGTTCTTTTACATAAAACACACGTACGTCGGCTGGAAGGGTAAGAACTTTGTGCAGAGATCAGGGATCTGTATTGGATCCAAAGTGGCTCCAGTACTGAGCAACATTTTTTTTAGCCAGAGTTGACAACGATCTTGTAACTGGCCTTGATGGTTTGGTCCAAAAAGTGTACAGATATGTGGACGACTACTTGCTGTTGATTAATTCAGACAACTTTGATAGCAGAGTTGATGAAGTGCTCAGTGTGTTTGGGAATAAGGGGCGGGGCTTGACATTCACGTGCGAAGTGCCGAAGAATGGAAAGCTGCGTTTTCTGGATTTGCAGCTGTCATTCCAACAAAAACACGTGTGTTGGAAGTTTTCCCCTAGGACCGCGAAGCCGCTTCTTGATTACAGCTCGGGGCACTCTCGCCTAGTAAAAAATGGCATTGCCATGACGTGCCTAAAAACGGCGTTGGACAGATCATGCCCACATCTTATGGAGACAAGTTTTTTCGCGCAGGTGGAAAGACTAAGAGACGCGGCGTTTCCTGATAGTGTCTTAGCTGCTGCTTGCGAAAAAATAAAAAAGTCCATTAAGCAACGGCCTGGGACAGGCCTAGACAGGAATGTCCCGCAGGGAAGAAAAAGAGTGTCAAAAATCCCGTATATCCACTGGCTTTCGCACGGCCTTAAGAGAGTGGCTTCGAGGTATGGGGTGGATCTCGTGTTCTCCGCAGGAAACAAGGTGGGCCGCATCTGCTCAGCGGTTGGTAAGAAGACAGGTAGGCCAAGCAGTGTGAAAAAAGAGGATGTGCCATTAAGCACGTAAGGCAGTTCGTTCCTTGCGCACGTGGTGTTGTATATAGAATACCACTGTCATGCGGCAAGGCATACATAGGGCAAACTGGTAGATGCCTCAACGTGCGGTTGCGAGAGCACAGCAGCTCTTTAATAGGAAGGCCGTTCACGCATCTGGCGATGCATTGCAGAGGATGCGATCAGGGTAATTGTAAGCCGGCATTTGAGCAGACAACTGTAATCTACAGGCACAGGGGCTCAGCGGAGAGGGAGATTATAGAAGCCCTCTTTATCCAGAGGGAGGGGCCTGATTGCATCAGCCACCCCTCTATCAGTCTGCAGGAAGGGGAGATAGCCTATCTGCAACGTTACTTATAGGCATGCTGAGCATGTATTTTTATTTTTAGTTTTTGGTCGATTCGTCGGGTTAAATTTGATGTCACTGCGGTATAAATGGTGTTTCCTGAATAAAAAATTCCAGTTGCTAGTAGCGCGTCGTCCCGTGTACTTCTTCTCTGTTGTGTGTCGTTTTTTTCGCGCCCCTTATCATCAGATTGTTTGTGCTGCTATATAACCTTGTGAGATCCGAGGGTCGCGGGATGGAATACCGGCTGTGACGGCCGCATCTGGGTGAAGCCAAAACGTCGGAGGCCCACGCGCTTAGATTTATTTTCACGTCAAATAACAAGGTGGTCGTAAGAACCCTGCACTGCGGAGTCTCTCACAATTATATCGTAATTTTGGAACGTACGACGCCAACGATTAATTTAGACAATTTTGTATAACCTGCGAGCGTTGTATGTGTTTTAGGTACACCAAGGTCTTTGTACATTCAGTAGTGCAACGCCGTTATAGCTGATAAGATGGCGTTATACCATTTGTAGTACTAAGCGCCTTGCCAGATTCACTGCTTTTCACCCTCTTCTTCAAGTTTACCGAGGTATTAACATTTCTTGGCTAAGTTGACTAGCGTCTCCAGGGGAGGCATTGGTTTAGAGAAAGCACGTGACATATCCATCTGGAACAGAAGTTGGCCTTAGTAGTGACTGCTGCAGCAAACTGCCAACCCGGCATAGGAGAGAGGCACCGCCATCGTGGAATCTGCAACAGCACTTTGTAACAACAACTGCATGGGTCTGAAGAAACACTTTCGTGTTCTCATATCATGAGACGCTCGGCGTATTTCGTGCTTGACGGTCGTCTTGTCCACGATGACCTCTCTTCGACCATCACTCGCCTAACGGGGCCCCGTCCACGGATCTGCCTAACAATTCTGCATTTTCTTTACTTTTTTCTGAAGCTTGACCTCTCTCCCTCTATATCTTTTAATCCCTCCTTATCTCTTCCCTTGTGAGGTATACTGCTGAGGAGCCGCACTCTGACAGTTGGCAGACAATTGCGGTGCTCACTTTTCATATCATTTTTCCTATTTGAAATTCACTACAATAGTGCTTCATAAAAGAAAAAGGCGACATAATACCAGTAAAAAAGGGTGTAAGACAAGGAAATAAGATATCTTCAGTGCTATTTACCGCATGGTTACAGCAAGCAGGTTTTCAGATAGTCAAGAGTCCGACGGAATCCCGTCTGGTCGGGGACAAACATAGTGCAAAATAACAAAAACGCCGACCAAGGTGAAATACACAAAACTTAAAAAGACGTGTCGGCTCCCCACACGGGAGCCTTGTTCACATTGACCGCAAATGGCGTAGTGCGCTCTTTTTATGCATGTGTCATCACGTGTTGCAGACATCGCGCGTACACAGGGGGGAGTGTCCCAATATTTCTGTTCAACGTATGCGCAGTATAGTTTGAATGGCCAGAGATTCCATGTGCAATCGTGGTAACAACTTTCTTTCCGTGGCAATGATGCAGGCTTTATCCCAGTCGATAGCGTGCCCAGTAGACGCAACATGTTATATTTGCAAAATGTGTTAACTATCGTGGTTCGAGGGGCGACTGAGCCGGACGCTGCAGTTGTTTTTTTTTGTGTATTTCACCTTGGTCGGCATTTTCGTTATTTTGCACTAGGTTTTCAGATGCCTAGAATGGGAAGAGTTAGGGGTACGAGTTAATGGAGAGTGCCTTAGTGACCTGCGCTTCCCCGATGACATTGCATTGCTGAGTAATTCAGGGGACCAATTGCAACTCATGATTGCGGAGTAAGACAAGGAGAGCAGATAGGTAGGTCTTAAACTTAATCATCAGAAAATGAAAGTAATGCACGACAACCTTGCAAGAGGATAGCGCTTCGAGATAGGTAGAAGCGCACTTGAAGTTGTAAAAGAGTACGGCTACTTATAGGACGGGTAATCATCGTGGAGCCAAACCCCGAGATTGAAGTTACCAGAAGAATAAGAATGGAGTGGACCACATTTGGCAAGCACTCTCAAAACAATAATGGCAGATTGCCACTATGATTCAAGAGGGAAGTACATAACAGTTTCATTTTACCGTTACTTACCTACGGAGCAGAAACCTGGAGGATTGTAAAGAGGGTTCAACTTAAGTTGAGGACGACGCAGCAGGCAACGCAAAGAAAAATGGTGGGTGTAAACTTAAGAGACAAGGAGAGAGCAGAGTGGATCAGGGAACAAACGGGTGTTAAAGGGATCATAGTCGAAATGAAGAAGGAGGAGTGGTCATAGACAGGGCACGTAGCACGAAGGCAAGATAACCGCTAGTCATTAAGGGTCACAGACTAGATTCCAAGAGAAGGCAAGTGGGAGAAGACAGAAAGTTAGGTGGGCAGAGAAGATTGGTCAAGTTTGCTGGTATAAAGTGGCAGCAGCAAGCACAGGACAGAGTTGACTGGCGTACCATGAAAGAGGTCTTTGGCCTGCAGTGGGCGTAGTCAGGCTGATAATGATTATGATGACCACCCCCCTGATGTCATAATATGCTTAAGCATTTTCTACAGTTTTCCTTGAATGCCCTCAAACCACTCCTAGATCAAGGACGACCGAGTGGTTTCTGTCCCGCCTTCACTGCCCTTCCTAAACAAGCGCTATCTCTTTCTCGCCACTTATTTCTTCATAAAACACGCGGACGACGTCAGCATTAAGCGTCGAGCATATATCATGAGGTCAAGCTTTTCGGCCAGATTCTGTCATCTCCGCTCGCATGGTCGAAAACGCACTAAACGAAGTGCAGCGAGTTGATCGTACCTCACAGCCGTGCGATACGAGGCTGCAGAAAGGGCACGGGACTGCATGACAAAGCAGTGTATACGTAGGGGACAATTCACAATCGTAAGCTTATTTGCGCATGAAATCCCGCGAAGGGACCGCTGGCGTTACGATATGTGCCGAAAACAAACACCAGCGGAGAGTAGCGGGCTCGTTTTTTGTTTTTGTTTTTTTTTTTGGCCCTTAGCTGGTGGTATATGGTGGATATGGTGCTCGACTGCTGGTGCGAAGGTTGCAGGAGCAAAGCCCAGCCACCCCGGCTGCATTTTAGATGAGAGGCGAAAACGCTGGAGGCCAAATCTTTAACTATCATGCTCGAGGGGTGACTTTTCTGTGCATCAGCGCCGTACGACAAAGTTGCAAGTATGTCGCGAGAGTAAGCACATGCCCACAAAGCGCGCTCAGCTGGGCCCGACATCGTGAGCTGGCGAATAGTTTCGGTGGTACTTTATCTTATCGGAAGATGAATGTTCCCACAAGTCGAGGAAATAACGTTAAAAATACACCACGCCCACACTGATGAGATGAGCAATAAAAGGTGGTCCATCTGCAGTGCGCTGATACCCGGTTACGTCCTTAAGAAGGAAGAGCCTATTGCAGACGACAGGCCCACCTGAGCGCACTTTGCAGGCTTGCACTTATCCTCGTCCAGTTTGCCACTGACTCCGTCGTATGGCGCTGACGCACAGAAATGTCGTCACTCGCGTGCGACAACTAAAGATTCGGGTAGCGGTACTTATATTTTGGTGCACGTTAAAGAATCTCAAGTAGTCGAAATTTCCGGAGCCCTCCCCTACGGCGTCCCTCGATATAATCATACCGTTTAGTTTTAAGATGTCAAACTCCAATCATTATTCATATCCGTCTTTTCAGAAGCTGTTAAGGGGTACTATAAACGTTTTGATTAAGGGTTTGCTTCAATACCACTTTTCTGCAAATGGTACCATCGTGTACGAGAGTCGAACCCTGCACCACGGGCTCTACTAGAATATGTGGGGTTTCACGTCCCAAAACCTCGACATGATTACTTAAGAGATGCCGTAGTGGGCTACAAGAATTCCGACCACCTGGGGTTGATTAACCTGCACTGGCATCGCCCAGTATCAACCTCAACCATTTCTGCTCCACCGACATGCGACCGCAACTGACGGAATCGAAACCGCCACCTTCATATCGGCAGCCGAGCACCCTAGCCGCTGTTCAACCGAAGCGGACGTGCACCGCGGGCTCTACATTCATAGGGTTGTAATTTTCTCCAGATGTCCTCTCGCCCGCGCCGTGGGACGAGTGTTGCCCAACGTTCCCGTGGCCAGGACGGCCGTGGAACAGGCGTGCAGAGACCCTCGCAGGCAGTGGACCGAATGAAGGACGACCCCCTGCGTTACCGTGGCAACGTCAGTGCCGGCTGGGCTGGCGCCATGTTCAACGCGCTCGAGGTGAGATCCTGCTTTGCCTTACAACACTGTAAATCAATTGCTCATCTATAATTAGGATTCTATAATCTATAATTCATGACTAATCAGAATCTATAATCGTATATCTATAATCTATAACTATATTTCTAACTAATCTGTAATTAGTCTATAATTTGGTAATACTACTGACCCTACAACTCCAATAACTATTAGCCGTTGTTTTTATCGAACAGATCAGTTCTTATGGTCAGGAATGAAAGTGAACAAGATGTTATAAAATGGCCACGGTGAGTTGGCGATGGTTCGTGTTAAATTTAGGCAGGGCACCAGAATACCAGGACAGAAAACACACCGTCTAAAGGGAACCATGTGTAGAGATGCAAAGCAGCGGGCGCTAACGCTCACACTGGCACCGACGTTGACGCTGCGTGGCGCTCATCGCGGCGTCGCGCAGGAGAGAAACTTGGGGAGGTGCAAAGCACGTAGTGATGGACTTGTGTTTGCCACTGGAACATGCATATCGCTGCTAAGGGTTAATGAGAGACAGAAGACTCCGATTGAACACAGAGACCCACAGTCACGATTTTAGTTAACACGCACGCTGCGAAGGTGTATAGTTCAACAGCGCACAGGAGAAATCCCCGACCGGCACAACCTTGGAAGCCAACATTCAGTGCCCATGTACACAGGGTGGCCAGTCAATGGTTGTGCAGCGCGAGCAGTCGGTTTTTGCCCATAGAGTTTCCTAATCCACACGAGAGGGAGCTAGTGTCTATGGGAGCTGCAACGCACGTCGCTTCAGCCAGCACAGGACTGATGGGTAGTACACGCATTTGTCTAATCTTCGTACTTCTGTCATGCTTCTGGCTCCGTGTGTGTTCGTGTGGCTTCGAGTTGTTTTCTTACGAAACAAAAATCGAAAAATATTCAGCGATTGCGCTTCACCACCTTACTCTTTTAGGCTTATCATTTCAAATCAGGTCGCAAAATTGAAAAAAGATTCGTCCTTTCCTTCAAAACAAAACCGAAACTGGCAATGAACGAAGCCGCAAGTGCGATTCGCCGTCCACAAGTACGAAGACTAGACAAAAGTGTGTACTACCCATCATTCCCATGGTTGCTGCACGATCGCAGCGCCAGAATCCCCTCTAGTTAATTTTAGAAAACTCCGTAGTTTTTTCAAATGAGAAACAGCCTGGCATACGCTGCCAGTGTCGGCTTTGCGAGGGAAGTGACGGGGGAGCGTAGGAGAGAAGAGTTGGGTGGCGACGCGCGTGCCCAATGTGGATGCAGCCGCGAGGAGCAATGTCTAAAGGAGAGAGAAAGTGGAGCGAGCGTAGGTTGGCAGACGCTCCCTGCTTCGGCATTGAGAGGTGAGAAAGGGGGAGCACACGCGCATGCGCCTTTAGGGTGGTGTTCGATTGAGCACCGTAGCCACTGTTCCACAGAGGCGGCGAACGAGAAAATTGCAACTCTGTGATTAATGTCACCCATACAGATTGAATGCAAGCAAAACGCTCTCATTCAGTTGCCACTGCATTTCCGACGGAGGCGGAAAATATTGTAGGCCCGTGTGCTCAGATTTGGGCATGCACGTTAAAGAACCCCAGGTGGTCAAAATTTCCGCAGCCTTCCACTATGGCGTCTCTCATAATCATATGGTGATTTTTGGACGTCAATTACCACATATCAATCAATCAATTCAGTTGCCAGACATTCTTATGCAACATTTAGCACAACTTGCCCAGCGTCTTAGCCTTCGTTGCAGTTGCAGCTGCGAGTGCTAACTATGACTGCATGCAAATCGGCGTTGATTAAATATTCACGTTATCGCAGGTCGCCCATTCGAAGGTGGACAGTGTGGAGCTGCCACTTTTCATTCAGCACGGCTCGGCGGACAAGATGTGCGATCCGAATGCCTCGCGAGATTTCTTCGAGCGCGTTCCCAGCAAGGACAAGAGCATCAAGGTGACGGCTACGACAATATTCGAGTGTGTATAACAATAATTTTTGGGGTTTCACGAGCCGAAACCATGACACGATTACGAAGCACTCCGTGGTGGAGTGGTGTAATATTCGAGAATAATGACGCGCGCACTTGCATGCTATTATTTTTTTAAAGGGACCGCATTTTTTGATGGAAACATAAACTACTACCGAAACGAACGCGTGCTAAATCTGTACTTAACTGCAGTAAGCATATCATTTTCAACGCTTATAACGGCACTGACCCGAGTCCAAGCGAGCCGAGGTCACGCGTCGGAGCGTTCGAGTTTAAGTTGCTGATGGCTGTGCAGGTCAGCTTTGAAGGGAGAAAACAGAAATGATTATGTAAACATAGGCGATGCAGATATACATTTTCTCTTGGGAACATGCAAACTTATTAGGTTGGAACTAGCTTGCTGTACATGGCACTCACACACACAAAAAAAGAACAGAACGATAATAAAATCATACATAGTATGGGCATTTAGTATATCAATCCGCTTCATCTGTACATTATCATCATTATCATGTGTTGCTCATGCATCGTGGAATGTTTCGTCATCGTTTGAACCTTCTTTTGCACCAGACTGACGTGCGTCATGAAACGTTCCTTCGTCATCAGACAACGATGAGGATGCATGAGCAACACATGATAATGATGATAATGTACATATGAAGGGGATTGATATACTAAATGCCCACAATATACACAAAGTCATCATAGGAGTCATACGGTGACTTCATCACGTGACAAAACCTTTTTTTTTTTTTGCACCATTTATACCCGACGCCACAGGACGGTCGAATTTTTCCCGTTCGACGAGGCACCTGAGACTTCCGCCCTGATAACTGATCAGTGATACCACTGTTCCGTTTGTCCTGTCTACCTGCGCGACAGATCTACAATGGCGCGTACCACAGCCTGCTGAAGGAGCCCGAAGGCGTCGGAGAGCAAGCGCTGAAGGACATCGTCGACTGGTGCTCCTGTAGACTCCCCGCTCGGGAGACGCCGCAGTCACCATGCCTGCCCAGTGAGCACGCAAGCGACGAAGCGACTCTGCCAGCGGTGACTTCGACTGCCTGAAGTTCTGCGTCACAGAGGACGCGCTTTTAATAGGCTCTACAACCAAACAATGAACATGTTTATTTTTTTTGATAAGCTGTTTTCTGAAAATTACACTGAAGCTAATATTACCATCATGGACTTGGAAAGAATTAAATGCCAAAGTTTCATTCTTTGTTTCAATTTTGTGCCGGATTCGCCACTCGTTACGTCACTGATTTCACCGTGATTTCTTTGTATTTTGGCGACGTTGGGTTATTGAATTTCCCCGAAATTTAGCGATGTTAAGTCTCCGGCACCCCAAGAGAGCAGTGCACTTCACTTTCACCGATAAGAAACTACGTATGTCATAGTTGATGCTGCCGTAATCTATGACGTCACGGGGATTGGCGCAGGAATCTCAAAATGACGTCACCATCTGCATATTCTTTCCACGTGTTTTCTCGCTTGCCAAACGTCTTCCCGCTGCAAGCGTGACGATATTGATATCGTCATAGATGAATGGATGGATGGATGGATAGGTGGATGGATGGATGGATGGATGGATGGATGGATGGATGGATGGATGGATGGATGGATGGATGGATGCCAAACATTATTGCATGTTCTGTAAGAGTCTTTGCTTTGCTTTGCTATCCTAGATACATGCCACGTACCCACTTTGGGGGATTGGCCAAGAATGCAACGTAGAGACTGGTAAATATTGTTTTAGGTAAGCTGTGAAATTTAAAACCAAGAATAAAGAAATGAAATGGCAAATAGACGTAAAATATTTAACTACAATTAATATGCTTTCCAGCCTGTATTCCAGGCTACCGTAATAACCTGACGGGAATAATTTCGAAAACGTAAGTTTTAACCTAACGAAATGACGAAGAATTTTAAATACCAGGTTAAAATGGCACTCGTTGGGTAATTTATTATCACGGGTAGCATTCTTTTCTTCTTCCTCTAAACAGACGCTTGGATTTACGAGAGAAGGAAATTAACGTGACCTCGATGAAGAAATTTCGAGGTCTGCGTAAATGGTCTCTTATTTAAACATTTCGATAAAAGCGCGGTGGTAGTTTTCAGACACGCGTGGCTACTTTTGACTAGTTTTACTGGACATGGGTCAACTTGGCTACTTTTTGGTTAGTTTTTTTTCATTTTGAGCCTATTTCTTGCCTTTTCGGTCTGGCAATCCTTCCAGGATGAAACATTAACATCCAATTAAAGCGGTGACGTAGTGCGCTTATTTTTTGCTCTTGTCTCCAGAATTAATATTGTGGCTGACGTGTCATGCGTAACTAATTAGCCCGTGCCTACTAATCAAGTGCATTGTTGGAGCCTTTCTTAATGATCAATTAGTCTTCCATTGCCAGTATAGGGCAACGACAGCCACGACTATGAAGACAAACAAACAAACAAACAAACAAATAAATAAACAAGAGTAAGTATGACAGACAGATTCGAGATTGTGGTTGGACAAGCGCCATATTAGCGCTTTCTCAGCACTCTGAGATTAGACTGTCTGAAACGCCACCATGTATGGATAAGAGCATACGAAAATGTTGGAAAACAGCATACTGATAAAAAAACGAGCCAAGGCAGCCCTCACAGATTGTCGGCGACACGCTATCGCGCGCAACCTGTAGGTTTCGACTCCCGTTGATGATTACGTCGTTATCTGTACATAAATAGTGCATTGTGATAAAAGAGTGATGACCTCCACCGTGATTCCTAAATTTCTTGCTCAGCGGTTTGTTTTCGTATATAATTTCGACACGAGAGTGGTTGGGGAAAGAAGCGGCACAACGTATATGCGAAGCTCCGAATCCAGAGTGCAGAGGAAGACGGTTATCATCACCACGAACGTACCCACCCCCCTCCACCGCCACCTCGAGCTCGCTACACAAAGGCTCCATTGTCACCTTTCCACGCTTGTCCGGCCGCTGTACAGACTTGCCGCTCTCTCGAAGGCGCGTCAGAATGAGCGCAACGAGTGCGACGGACGTCAAAGTCGACGACAGCGTCTTCTTCCACAATGGCGACAAACAAAAGATCGTCTGCAAGTCCTGGAGAGCCGAATCGGAACCAAGGTATCATGTTTCTTCTCTTCTTGGGGCTGTAGCAGTAATGAATTCATGGGTTTTACTGCGCTGAACCACAGGGTAAATTTATTGTGTTGTATTGTATTGCACGGTATTGAATACCGACTGTATTGTGTGTGCGAGGCACACCGATGACAGGGTGGGGGGGGCGAGGGGACTTTGGAATAATTTCGACGGTTATGCGTTGCACTCTTATCAAAATACGTGGTGGTGGTAGTACTGAGTAGTATTACATGGCGGTAGCATAGTAGCATTAACAGCAATAGCTAGTATAAGGTGGTCACTACGGCATCTCTCACAATCGTATGATGGTTTTGGGACGTTGAACCCTACATATCCATATCCAGTATTAGCCCCGCCGCTGTGGTCTTAGTGGCTAAGGTACTCGGCTGCTGACCCACAGGTCGCGGGTTCGAATCCCGGCTGCGGCGGCTGCATTTCCGATGGAGGCGGAAATGTTGTAGGCACGTGTGCTCAGGTTTGGGTGCACGTTAAAGTACCCCAGGTGGTCAAAATTTCTGGAGCCCTCCACTACGGCGTCTCTCATAATCATATGGTGGTTTTGAGACGTTAAACCCCACATATCAATCAAATCAAATCCATATCCAGTAATAGCTAGTATATAGTAGTAATAGCAGCAACCACCGCGACAGTAGTAACTACTTGTTGTTTTGGCTGGGAATAATAATAATTAACATTTAAATAAACAATGAACGCGATTCCCGCTTTGTGGGAAATTTTCCATGACCTATCTGCGACGGGATGTTGACTTGCCCGAGATAAGGACGATTCTGACGAAAGTTATATAGTCTACACCATGTTTGCTCGAATACTACTCCGCACCTACTTATAATGTTTACGTGTACTGGCTAATATCGACTAACTGTTGGCTATAGGGTGTGTTAAGTGACGGATAAGTGATGCCTGTTTTTGGCTAGTTCTGGCTTGCTTTGGGTAATGGTAGCTACATGCTGGCTAAATGCTAAATTACTGACTGCTGTAGGCGAAAGTTCACTGTCCGCTGTAACGCAAATATCGTTTCCCATGCAATCCTGGAAAGAATAGCTCGGCATGACTTGCACGGTATTCACACACGCACAGGCGTATATTGGCGGAAAATAAAATGCCCTTCCGGGTGACGCTACGTTGTAATTTGAGATTATGAAGGGTCGAAAGATCTCTTCCTCGAATTTTAACTTCCCCAATTTCAAGAGGTAATTCGAGCAGCCACATCACTTCAGTAAATCGAAGTAATACCACTATAGCCGTCATCAATTCATCATTTAGCACCTTCGCGCGAAACAAATACGAAAGAAATGCGCACATACATAAAAGCACATTTTAACAACTGGTTTAATTTTGGAGATGCCTTTGCATCAGAACCAAATATGATTTGAGTGATGTTGGTTTCTTAAGCAAGTGCATTTTCAAAAATAAACCAGTTTTTAGATCGCACTTGTCTCTGTCTGCTCTTTTGACCTTGTTTGAGGCGCGTAAAAGAGTTAAAAACGTTTCAACCGCATATAGAGTTCCAGCTGTATATCCGCTCACACATAGAAACACACGCACAAACATGTATAAAGTATGGTTGTAATCTACCCCCATAAAACAATAATACAAATAAAATACATGCATTTCATCGATGTCTTGTGGGTAAAGATATAGGTCCTAAGGTCGAGCATAGTATCTACGGTGAAGTCGATGATTAGTATAAAGGACGGACAAAGGGAAAGACAGACAGCTGCATGGACGAAGACATGGACGACGTACGGACGCACACATGGACGGACAGCGCAGGTGACGATGCATATCGCTGTCATACACTTGATTTATGTACGCATAAAGGCGGTTTTCCACACAAATTGTTTCGTTCCTCATTGTCCAGCAGCTAAGTTTCAGGTTCGTCGAGCGTCACGTAGGCCAACAAGGCTCGGCCCTACAGAGCTTCAACCCTAAAATTTTTCGCCATTTCCCCGTTTGCATGCGCAGGGCACTGGTGTTCCTGTCTCACGGTTACGCCGAGCACTGCCACGAGCCCAGTTACGACACCCTGGCCAGGGCGCTGGTCGGGATCGGCTGCTACGTGTTCTCGCATGATCACGGTATGCGTGGACCACTGCTGCTGTGTTCCGAGGAAACACTCATCACCCGTAGCCAGGAAATCGGGAAATTTTTCAGGGGGCGTTGGCAGTGAGGGGCACTTTCGAATTTCGTGGGAAAGGGAGAGTGGGGGGACGTCCTTGGACAAACCCCTAGGCTACGGGCCTAGATCATGTCCCCCGGTGAAACATGGTGTGCTGCGCTTCTTCCGGATCGTGCAACATTTTGAACACCTACAAACTTAGTTGGCAGCACTATGCAGTAATGTAACTTTTAGTCTGCCAAAAACGCCACCAGTGAAACAATGAAACCCTGTCGCAGTTGGTCACGGCATGAGCGAGGGGCGTCGTGCGATGGTCAAGTCTGCCGACGTGTACGTGGACGACATCCTCAAGCACGTGGACACTGAGAGGGCGAAGTTCGCCAACAAGCCTGTCTACCTCGTCGGTCATTCCATGGTCAGTGGTACACATGGAGTCTCTCAAAGGCATAGGCAATTGAAGCGAGGAACTTTTGTAACGCAAGCTTTTTTTTCTATTCGTTTCATTTTCTTTTACGGCCCAACTGTGTTACGCCCGCATTCGCAAACCCACCTTATCCTTATCTTATGTTTTCCTTGAGTTTGTGTACACTTCACATGCTTTATAAGGGCGCAAGAATGGTAGCAGGGTAAAAGATAATTACTATGCAGATTGGTTCATAAATACCGGCTTGTTTATTTACCAAAATGCTCCAAGGCACTAGGCCGATAACAAAAACACGAGATAAGGATAAGGTTGATTTGCGAACCATATAGCGGAATCGACAATGTGCAGGATAGCATGTAGCCTTGGGGCTGCGTTATATCCTGCCCATTGTCGATTCCGCTATATTGTCAGATTTCGTAATGTCAGCATTTTAAGACAACGTTTACTTAGACGTCACTGTGGCTTATGTTGAATTGCGATGGTGGAGTCTGACCAAGTTGTTCTGCTCCCTTTGGGGCAAGTGTGTTCCGATGGTAAAGTAAGTGCGGAAGTAAAGTGTTCAGAGCAGGAGTGAATTCGAGGAGCAGGAAAAAGTTGCTCCACCAAAATCAGCGGAGTGGACAGGCACTCGGCGGGTGGTACTCCCGTGACGGTGACGGGACGGGGTGTTTGACCGCTGTGTGAATGACCCCTAATACGTTTGCCCGCTTTAGGATGCCGCCGCTGTCACGTGTTTTGGCAGTAATGGTGGACGCCATGGCCGACTGGGTAAATCAATTCGTCGCAGAGTAGCAGCGAACAACCGCGTACGAGGAATTCGACAGTGGAATTAGCGGAATGAAATTCTACACGCAAGGTATTTTGGGGACCTCAAGGGCCTCCACTTCTACCTTGCTCCCCATACGTGCTCCGGCCGCACGGATTGTGTTACAGCCACGGATTTGGAAGTGTTGCTCTACGCCAGATTCGAGTGCTCCCTCGCAGAGTCTATCAGCCGCTCCGACTACCGCCATTGCCAGTCAACATTAGTAGCAGTAGAAGTAGTAGGCGTGCGCAAGAAAACTTCCCGAAGGTTCACTGGCTGAGTCAGCAGGTCACATCATCTCACTTTGACCTATCAGGTGTAAGCGCGCGTATTTCAAATCTAGCGGCGGATTCACGACACCACCTGGTCTCGTTATTCAGTCACATAGACTCGCGCTCCTTTCCGATCCCACGAGTTCTCACCATGACCTCCGAGATGGTGGGCGCGCGGCAGATAGCCGCCGGTACGAGAATGGTCTCGCTAGCTAATCGCAGACTCGCGCATAAAGATCTCGCGCAGTGCCGAAAGCCAAGGCAACACGACAACCAATGGGTGCCTCAATAGAGTTTCCTATAAATACGCTATAGAGGGAACTCCGGAGCTTCAACGCACGGCGCTTCAGCCGGCACGGGAATGACGGGCAGTACACGAACTTGACTAATCTTGGTTATTTCGGCTACGCTTAGCTTAGCGTGGTCTGAAGCAGCTTCGAAAATCGGCAAAGGTTTAGCAGTTACACTTTGCCACCTTAACTTTTTAGGCTCACCAGTTCAAATCGGCTCACGCAGTCTCAAGTGGTCTGTTTTTTTAATATAAGCATGGCCAAGAACACAGCAATAAACACAGCCACAAGCACGAAGACTATGCAAATCCATGTACTACCCATGATTCCCATGGTGACCTAACGGTCGCAGCGCCAGAGTCACCTATATTTAACTCTAAGAAACTCTACGGGTTTCTGCTTTACTTAGGTCAGCCATTACGGGCGACTGCAAGAAATGCCGCAAGGGGGATCATCGCGCACGGACAGTTTCGCTGCATGACCATCTTCAAGGAGTCGATTTGCCACACATCTTTTGGCCTCCTCAGGTTGCACAAAACCTAAGCGCGATAAAATGCTTTTTAAAGTCGGGTGTCAAGTTTAGTCGGTTTAAAAACGTGAAGAACAATGAAGTATTGATTTATTTGCGCTTCCCTAAAAGTCAAAGGGCCCTTAAAAAGACATTAAAGGGCAAAACGGTTTTTGCGAATCAGTAAAGTGTGATTTCACAATTACAGAAACACCCCTCTTGCGGCCACATGACGCCCGGTAAGCGAAAAAAGGCGCGAAAATAAAATGCGGTTGTAGAGGCCACCTCGAGATTTGCGTACCAAGCATCGTGACGTCATAAATATAGAAGACGTCAGCTGAATCCTACGTAGCATCTAATCAACGAAAATTAAATGCATTGTTATCAGTGGATGTCATAAATCTAGCGTACCAAGTTTCAGAAAGTTTCATCGAGCCGACGTCGCGAAAGTACGAAAAATGCATTTGGAAGAGCTTCTGACGTCACTCACGGAGATTTAGGCGCGAAATTTAAAATAAAAACTTCAACCCTCATTTTTTCTTTACCGCTAATAATGAACTCATGATAGATCAACATATGACATTAGGTTTCTCAAAGTACAGTTTGTCAATCTGAACCAAGTCAACGTTTCTCTTTAGTGTCCCTTTAAGCCACCCAGAGTTTAAAAAATGTAGTTGTGGTGCTGCAGTTGCGCACGAGTACACAACTAACACGTATAGCCGTTAGACCTCCTCGAAACTGTGCAGTAATAGCGGAGTTACACGCGATTGATAATACAAGCCAAGCTATCGCTCGTTTCAATCTTTTTTTTTTTTTTTTGCGATAGTCCTTTCATTGGCTCGTCCCTCCTCCCGGGCGAATGATGTCATCCTCCTCACCATGCGACGAGGGTGAGCGGCGAGCGCACGCACATATCAATTGTAAAACGCTGTTTGTACTAAAAATAGCACCAACATTGCAAAGTGGCATCTGTACATAAAAAATAGTAAAATAAAACCTCTAAGCGGTAGTTTCTAAACCAACTTGACTTTTCTCAGTGTTCGGGCTTGGGGTGACCTTAACCACAGCCAGCCTTTTGCGATTTCATATTGAGCGCGACTGCACCTGCGAGCGGACAAAGGGGTCTCGTAGATGACAGGCAGCCAAATTGACGGCACAGCGAATGCTGAGCCACTGAACGCTGCCAAAGGTCTGGAGAGATAAGAAGAGATTCTTTTTCGGAAATAGTGGGGCGCCCGTGGCTCGTAGTGCTGCCTCGTTTGGCAACGTTGATAACGACTACATTCTGAACTCTTGGTGCGCGCTTGCTTGATTTGCTTGGAACGTTCAATGATCCGAGATGGTCTCAAGGTTCTTTTGGTTATAGCGTTGTTGGTTACATAAGACCGCACTACTGGCACAATCCGCTTCAGTAGCAGTCGTGATGATTGCGATAGAGTTTAGAGTGCTAACCGTTACACCATGAGACCGAACACTTCGGACGCCGGGAACCTAACCCGGGCCTTCTGCGTGAAAGCCAGATATCCTAGCCACTAGACCACGCCGGAAACTGATTGCGACAAAATCTATTTTTTTTTTCTACTTAGTTCAATTTCATGGATCTTGTAGTACTCCGAGAACACTTACAATAAAAGATGTGGGGGGCGGGGGATACATTCACGCAGGGTGGTTTGCTGGTGCTCATAGCAGCTCAAAGAAGGCCCCATGATTTCGCCGGCCTGGTTCTGGTGGCCCCTCTACTCGGAGTAGACAAGGATCTGGACACATGGTTCAGTGTGAGTAAACGAAAAAAATGGCGCTGAATCAACGAAGTGAAGGATGAGGAAGCAGCTTGCTCTGGAGGTTATATCTGGTAAACCGTGAAGCCTCCATACATCCACTCAGCCATTATACAAATACGTGTCTAGGTCAGCGCACGCTTTAGGACGTTACACCCAAGAATTATTGTTATTATTATTAAAAAATTATTAATACTATTATTATTATTATATGGCGAATGTTCATTGAACCGTTTCCTCCCCCTTCCCCTACTCCACAAAAATCAGCGGATTCGACCCGCCCCATGCCTTGGAACAGTGCTAACTATAAGGGTGCGCTAAGGGACGTCGGTCACGTCGGTTGCATCTAGCGACGGAGCTGGCGTTTTGCTAGCGTAGCGTCGCTTACCCGGCGTGCCCTCTCAAGCAAGCATGAAACATTTCCATTCCTTCTCCACTGGCAAGCGCCAATACTGTGGGCAGGTGGCTGACACCTACCACACCATTTTGGCTTGCCAGCTCAACTCAGCTCTTTCCCCAACCCTAACCCAAGCAGAGAGGAGTGAGAGGCGATCCTGCTGGGTTCCAGAGGCCCAAAGGGCCCTGGTCTAGAGGGCTAGGATAGCGAGTGCCACCAATGGGGTCTCCGGAATAAAGACTCCACCCACTATGAAGCATCTAAAGGGCTGCACCTCTCCTCTTTTTTTAAATAATGTTTTCACTCCCTCACATCATTCTGATCCGGTCATTTGCTACAGAGGGAGCGTGGATACTATACGGTGGGGTGCATGAACAAGGCTCGATCGTAAGGAGCAAGCGGTCAGGAGCTCTTGCTCTGTTGGGTGAATAGGGTCAAGCGAAGTAAAGTGATTTTTACACAGGGACAAAAGGAACGGCACATGCACCGCACATTGACCAAGTGGAGCTGCGTTGCTCACACTGCCTCGTCTCAAAGTTTCTGACATTTGCCGTTAGGGGCACCCAGAAAATAGACGCGTGCCCGCATCCGCCATGTATCCCGGCCACAATCCGCCGACAGATGCAGTATTGTGCCTGGAATAATTATAATTTCTAGAGGAACACGTGTGAATATGCCATGAAATCATGTCATGCTGTAATGTTTCTTTTGATCAAACTTCCCATTACTATTCACGCGCAATGAAATGTAAGTCGTGAAATATCAGCACGTGTGTGCGTCGCTTCCTTTTTGTCCCCGTGGTGAGTGAAAATCGCACTGTTTCTATTTCGTGAACCGTATAGTTGAGTGCGCGCGCGCACGCCACATTTAAGATTCCTTTTGTGTTTATTTCTATCACGTTCCGCAGTGCTCCCTTCTACTTCCTCGCTCCATGCCGGGAATCAGACCTCCTTTCATTGGCCTAGCAGCGCAACACATCAGTTGCTCCAGGCAAAAACGATGACCATGCGTCTATGTCCATGAAGCGACCTAATTCCGCAGCGTGATATGACGATTAACGTCGATAAAACGTCAAAAGAGTGGTAAGCTGAGCTAATTAGTACTGATTCGTGATGTAAGCGTGCAAAAAAAAAAACGGACGGGAACTACCTTCTCTTGTGTTCCCGTTCGTTTTTTTGTGCAGTTACACCACGGAGCAGGATAAACGTCAAGTTGTCGAATCAGAAACTGCGGATCAGCGACAAGCCCATGGTCGAGAGGATCAGTTATGGGAAAACAGCGCCTACAAATACGCATTTCACTGGTACATAGCTTCGGAGGCTTCATTTTTGTACACTCGCCTGAACCGGGCTTATTATGCGATCGGTGCCGCCCCACCAGTATCTGTAACTCAAAGCTGGGTTCCCTTCAGTAATTGCGTAATTTGGTCCAGTAATCTTTACGAGCCCCTCCCTTAATCCTGGACTTTTTGAGTCTGCAGCAGCGCTTGTCCCTTGTGAGTCTTTTTTGCGTGCTTCTTGATTACGCTAACGGTAATCCTCCTCCATCAGAGGGCCCTGGCCCGCGTGGTCGGTTTCGTCCTGCCGGGAGTACCCGTGGGCACCCTCGACGAGAATCTGCTGTCCAGGGACCCCGAGGCCCTCCGTCGTTTCAAGGACGATCCAGCTCCGCTATCACGACAGCGTCTGTGCCGGATGGGTGGCGGCCATCATCCCTGCTCTCGACGTGAGTACCCATAGACGTACACGTCCACAGTCGAACTTGGAAATGTATAGAGCTTCAACAGTTCATAACCTGACGGTGTCTTAGACGATGGCCCTATAAGAGAGCTCTGAATACGTCGTAACAGGCGACTCAGAAGTTGCCTTAAATGACCCACCGTGCATCTTAAAATAAGTTTCGGGCGTGTGGGATGTTGTGTTGCAGCAGATCATTGACGTTTAACTATGTCCCAGAAGAACATCTAGGAGACGCTTGGGATGACCTTCGGAAAAGGTACGATGTCTCAACACAAATCTTTTTATGACGTCTGAAAAGTGACCCCTGGTTTTCCAATATGTCTAAAGAGTGTACTACAATATGCCACAATGATAACTGCACATAAAAGAAGGTCTTGAGTGAATATCCCAAGATGAGGCACAACGCCAGAGTCGTTGACCGAAGCTCGCAACGACGCCAGCGTCCTGTTGACGTGGTGACATCAGCGAGATGACTGAGCAGGTGTCACGCGGTCTTAGTGCCTTTTCGAGAAGAAAATGGGGGTAATAGTGTGTTGATGTGGGTTTGTTAGTATAAAAAAGCATCCGGTCGTGTTGGTGCACACAGTGCCTGGACACGGAGCGTACATGCCCTGTAACGTCCTAGCACTGTTTTTAAGTTTCAATATACTTGTGCCTTAGAATCGAGTAAATGTGTTTTTCCTCGCAGACGGCAGTGGAACAAGCGGACCAGGTGGAGTTGCCTTTTCTCATTCAGCACGGTACCGCCGACAAGGTCTGTGACCCGGAAGCCTCGAAGGTTTTCTTCGATAAGGTTGCCAGCAGGGATAAGACCATGAAGGTAAACAAACGTTTACGTTCTCATCGCACATCCATACCCATATCCCGGCACACTCAGACGGTGCCTATAAACAACCCTGAACACTAACACGAGCGAGAGGCTTTCTCACTTTCCCTTATTTTTCTTTCTCTCCCACTGGCCCTCGTTGTCGATCGCATTCCCGCACACGGCATGCGGTACGATTGTCCAACCTGACGTTAGACAGTTACTACCAGGCCCTTAGCCAGGTATAGCCTGCCTTAACCCCCACCCCCTTTAAAACTTGGATGGTGTGGGGTGTTTTGACGAAAACAATGAGAATTGGTGTTATTCAGGGCCTTCAAAAAAGTGATCACCCCACCCCATCCAAAAAAATACTTCTGGCTAAGCGCCTGGCGAAGTTTAATCTTTCTTTATTGCCACGTGCGTTTACAAGAAGAGGGACTGGAATGTGCTACCGTCCTGTCTTTCTTCTTTGTTGTCAAGCGCAGCCATTCGCCAGCCTGAAGCCAGAATGTGTAAGACAAGCGAGTGGCGCTTGTCTTGCACAAAAAATAAAACATTTGCCATCATTTATTTCGCATAAAATAATTTACGGGGGGGGGGCATCTCCGGCTTACGGGCCTGGTTTGCTGGTACCGTGACCCGGTGCACTTTTGGACCACCAGCTCACCAAAGGGCTAATTTGTCTGTCCCATCCAGCGAAGCGACAGTAAATTGTCAGTGTCGGAAGTTAGGCACAAATCTTCGGAAAAGAGGTGCAGGGCGAAACAACAGCACCTCTATATAGTGAGACGCACCGCGAGCTCGGTGCAGCGAACAGTAGAATAATAATACATGAGGATGACCTCCATTTGCAACGAATGGAAATCTTTGGGTCGGACATACTGCACATGTACTCTTCCTGCGAAGTAGTGCGGCTCCACTCGCGCTTCGAATAATAACGCTGACTACAATCAGCTACGTCTGCTATATAAGGCAGCCATTTGTGAGTGAAATTCGCAACTTGCTCCCTCGACGAAATAGCTGGAGATGATGATGATGAAATACATTTATTATAAAAGAGAGAGGTACGGGGCCAAAGCATGACCCCGCTACATGGTCGGCGTCCTTAGTCCGGGACACCGCATGACGAGGCCCCTACTCGCGCCCGTCTCACCAGAGCCCGTTGAGACTCTAGTGATGAGCAGTTGAGGAGGGCAGTCTCCTATGCCTTTCGGGAAGGGGTAAGGGAAGGGGGTAGGTGGGGATTTTTTGGACATGCCCATACCATGTGGAAGATATCACACGTCTCCCGACAGTGTGGGCACCGCCCATCTGTGTTCGCATCGAAATGTTTTAGGATTGCAGGACAGAGTAGAGTACCTTTCTGCAGGCACCTTAGAGTTCGCTCTTCCGCCTTACTCAGCCCCTTTGCAGGAGCCAGGTAAAGGCGCTGAGTGTCGCGATAATAGGTCAGAATTTCTTTGAACCGCAGCAGCGGCGTATTGACCTCCGAGTCATAAGAGCCAAGGTGAGGAGCCCGGTGGGTAAGCGCTCGGGCGGCCGCGTCAGCGGCCTCATTACCTCGTAAGCCCTGATGGCCAGGAGCCCATACGATGCGTTTCGGGGCTGGATCAGCGAGAGCCCGTTTTAGAATTTGGCTGGCTAGGGGGGATATCTCTCCTACCAAGTAATGAGCACATGCTTTCCGGTAGTCCATGATGATAACTTTCGAGTTGGGGTCCGCAGCAGCAAGCGCTATCACGACTTCCTCAGCGCTCTCTGGATTTTGTGCTCGGAACAAGAGCCCATTGACATGCTTTTCCCGGTGAACTACAGAGGCCGTGTAAAATCCCGTGGGCGAAGGCCCTGCTATATCTACGCAGAATACACCAGGTCGGGAGCCGTGTTGCCTCTCAAGCGTCCGAGCCCACGCCTGTCTTCTGCTTTCGTGCGTGTGCTTATCCATGTTACTGGGGAGTGGAGAAACCGAGAGCATATGCCGCCACAGTTCCGGAATACGCTCCGCCTCCTCTGCAGTGCAAGTGTGCTGTATATGTAAGCGGTTTAGCAGGCGGCGCCCGGGAGCCATCTGCACGAGCCGCGTATATTGATTCATAAGGTGGGCCTCCCGCAACTCCTGGTAGGAGTTGAGCACACCTAACGCCCTCAGTTTGGCGTTGGAAGTGGCCACCGGGAGATCCAGAGCTCGTTTAGTAGCCTTACGAATGATGGCATCTATTCTTTCGTCTTCTTGTTTGTTAGTGCGAAAGTATGGGATGGCGTAGAGGATCCGGCTAGTCACGAAGGCATGGGCGAGCCGAAGCGCGTCCCTGCCCCGCAGACCACCCCGCTTGTTGGAAACGTGGTGGATCATGCGCCCTACCTGTTCGCCTATTCTCTTGAGTTTCGCTATAGTGGAGTCCGGTCTGAGTCTGTGGTGAATGAACAGGCCCAGAATCCGGAGCTTCTCCACCTCTCTGATGGGAACCCCAGACAGGGAGATGTGTATGGCTGACTTATCTCTTGGATTCGCTCTAACGTGCAGAAGCTCTGATTTGTTTGGAGCACATTGGAGTCCACAATCGTTGGCATACGCCTCGACTATGGATGCGGCCTGCTGAAGGCGTTCCTGCATTTCACCAAGGCTCCCTTCAGTGGTCCAGATTGTAATATCGTCGGCATATACTGCGTGTTGTGTGCCTTCCACGCTGGCCAATTCGCTTGGAAGGCGCATCATAGCAATGTTGAAAAGGAGCGGTGATAACACTGCTCCCTGTGGGGTACCCCGTGTTCCCATAATGTACGAGCCATATTCCTCGTCCTCGATCCGAAGAAGTGCCTGGCGTTTAGAGAGAAAATCTCTGACATATGCAAAGGCCTTAGCCCCGCAATCGGTGGAGCTCAGGTTAGCCAGGATGCTGCTGTGTTTAACATTGTCGAAAGCCCCCTTCAGATCAAGGGCGAGGATGGCTTTATCATTGTGTTGCATAGTTATGGGCTGTATGACGGCCCTATGGAGCTGAAGAAGGACGTCCTGTGCAGACATGTGTGGGTGAAACCCAAACATGGTGTCTGCAAAGAAGCCCTTGCCGTCAAGGTATGGGGAGAGGCGATCCCGTAACATCGTCTCCATAAGCTTGCCCGTGCACGAAGTCAGTGATATGGGCCTCAGATTTTCTGTATTCACGGCCTTGCCTGCTTTGGGGATAAAAGTCACAAGTGACGTTTTCCATTCGGAAGGGAGCGCATGGCCATCCCAGATCTCGTTCATGTATTCCAATAAATGGAGGTAGGCTGTGTCAGGGAGGTTTGTCAACAGCTTTACTGTTATGCGGTCCAGCCCCGGAGCCGTACCCTTGCGCATTTTAGCTAAAGCCGCTTTAAGGTCATGCAACTCAAAACGGGCATCGAGTTGGTGGTTAGGCTTACCAGAGTACGTGTACGCCGGCCCAGGCGGGTCCTCCGTACGACAGAGATACCTATCGCACAGAGCATCCGCAAGCTGTGCCGGAGTGCCTTGGTACCCTTGCAGAGCTCGCCGGAGCTGCTTCTGCGCCTCCCCTCTCGTTTGAGAGGGATCTATGAGACTGCGAAAGAGACGCCATGTCCCCTTCGAGCTCATCTGACGAGCTGCGGCGTCGCAGCGGGCTATCCAATTCGAATCTGAGAGTTGGGTAGCATACGCTGCAGCCTGTTCCGTGAGTTGGGCTATGCGGATACGTAATTTTCGATTAGTCTTCTGCTTTTTCCAACGTTTTGTTAAGCTTCGGCGCGCCTCCCACAGGAGGTGAGTGTCAACTGCGAGGATTTCTTCGTTGGTTTGGAGGGTAGTAGTAAGTCTTTTTTGAATGTTGTTTACGTGTTGAGCCCATTCTGAATAGCCTCCAGAAAATAGTACAGGAGGAATAGTCTGATTGCGAAATTGGGTCCAATCGGTCAGCTTGGCTTGACCGCATTTTTTATGAGCTGACTTTTCCAGGAGTGTGACCCGGAGAAGGCAGTGATCACTGCCTAGAGAATCGCCCAAGTTCTCCCAGGTAGCATCCTTAGCATTTTTAACGAGAGAGAGGTCCGGACACGTGTCACGGGTTACCGAGTTCCCCACTCGAGTGGGGTACGCCGGATCCGTGAGCAGCGTGAGGCGAAGGGTGGAGATAAGCTCCACCAGCTTACGTCCTCTGGCCTTCTCGTAGTGAGAGCTAAAGTGTGTCGATGTGGGTTTGTTAGTATAAAAAGCATCCTTTCGTGTTGGTGCACACAGTGCCCGGACACGGAGCCTATATGCCCTGTAACGTCCTAGCACTGTTTTCAAGTTTCGATATACTTGTGCCTTAGAATCGACCAAATGTGTTTTTCCTCGCAGACGGCAGTGGAACAAGCGGACCAGGTGGAGTTGCCTTTTCTCATTCAGCATGGCACCGCCGATAAGGTCTGTGACCCGGAAGCCTCGAAGGTTTTCTTCGATAAGGTTGCCAGCAGGGATAAGACCATGAAGGTAAAGAAACGTTTACGTTCTCATCGCACGTCTATACCTATAACACGACACACTCAGACGGTGCCTATAAACAACCCTGAACACTAACACGAGCGAGAGACTTTCTCACTTTCCCTTATTTTTCTTTCTCTCCCACTGGCCCTTGTTGTCGATCGCATTCCCGCACACGGCATGCGGTACGATTGTCCAACCTGACGTTAGACAGTTACTACCAGGCCCATAGCCAGGTATAGCCTGCCTTAACCCCCACCCCCTTAAAATTCGGATGGTGTGGGGTGTTTTGACGAAAACAATGAGAATCGGTGTTATTTAGGGCCTTAAAAGAGTGATCCCCCCCCCCCCCCCCTCTGATAAAATACTTCTGGCTACGCGCCTGGCGAAGTTTAATCTTTCTTTATTGCCACGTGCGTTTACAAGAAGCGGGACTGAAATGTGCTACCGTCTTGTCTTTCTTCTATGTTGTCAAGCGCAGCCGTTCGCCAGCATGAAGCCAGAATGTGTAAGACAAGCGAGTGGCGCTTGTCTTACAAAAAAAAAATAAAACATTTGCCATCATTTATTTCGCATAAAACAATTTACGGGGGGGGGGGGGGGGGAAGACATCTCCGGCTTACGGGCCTGGTTTGCTGGTCCCGTAACCCGGTGCACTTTTGGACCACCAGCTCACCAAAGGGCTAATTTGTCTGTCCCATCCAGCGAAGCGACAGTAAATCGTCAGTGTCGGAAGTTAGGCACAAACCTTCGGAAAAGAGGTGCAGGGCAAAACAACAGCACCTGTAGTGAGACGCACCGCGAACTCGGAGCAGCGAGCAGTAGAATAATAATACATGAGGATGACCTCCATTTGCAACGAATGGAAAGCTTCGGGGCGGACATACTGCACATGTACTCTTCCTGCGAAGTAGTCCGGCTCCACTAGCGCTTCGAATAATAACGCTGACTACAATCAGCTACGTCTGCTGAGGCAGCCATTTGTGAGTGAAATTCGCAACATGCTCCCTCGACGAAATAGCTGGAGGGGAACGGGTGCTCCCCTAAAGACGCCACTCTGACTGTGGGGAGCGCGGGAAACATGTGACGTTTTCACACGTAGAAAAAATGCGGCAATAAATACTGGAGGCTTTATGCGAGCGCGACATTTAATGACGAGGTTCTTTCTTGAAATGCTTCCACGCAGAAATTTCGGTCTGTCTGTTTTTCTGTTTGTCTGTCTGTCACTCGATTCAGCCTCACTCAATGCTCACTCATCTTGATCTCGTGGCTACGTTCATACTTGCGAACATTGTCAATCAAAAAGCAGATTTTACGCACATTTGAGGCATGACATCAATACTTAGGTATTAGGTAGTGTGTTTGTTTATTTAGAAATTGCATAGATACGTAATTCTAAAGACCGCAGTGTTTATTGCGCAGCGCTGATAATGTGACGCTATGAACTAAAAAAAGCCGGTGTTTCCCGTGCTTCGCTAGAATGACACGGTGCTGCTTCCTACCAGTTGCTCTGCGTTCTAAAAAAAAAAAAAAAGCTTTCGTTTCTTGATATAACTGCCAGATGGCGTACGTATTTCACGCAGCGCCTCCAGACAGAAGACTATCAGCTTTCGACGTCCTTTGCAGTGAAGCGCGTACAGACGCGGCCTTTTTTCTTTTTTGTTCTGTCTTTTGCAGACCTATCCTGAAGCGTACCACGATCTTTTATGTGAAATCGAAGACGTCCGCAAGCAGGTACTCAAGGACATCGTTGACTGGATCGCGACCAGGGTCTCTCCAAAGCCGGCACCACCTCCACCAACGCCACCAACACCGTTCTCACCGGTCCAGCATTAACGCGACGACTGACAACTCGGAAAAGAAAAAGGCTGCATTGTTGCCTAATAAAATTAACCTCACCAGTCCGCGACACTTGACGTAATCTGTAAATGTCATGCCCTAGTTAATTAAGAAATGTAATTACAGTTATAAAACGATTTCAGTCACGTTAGCCGGCTTTTGGCGCGTATATAGCCTTTAGCCTCTGCTCCCGATCCTGTAAGAATTTCAGGGCAAAATAAACTTCAATTCAATTCAATTCAAATCCAGAATGAACGTACCTTTTTCTGCAAGTGAAAACCAGATCCATAACAAAGTACGGTACGTTGTGCCGCCGGGGAAGTCTAGTGGCTTAGTATATACTCGGCTGCTGACCCGCAAGGTCGAGGGATCGAATCCCGGCAGCAGCGGCTGCATTTCCGATGCAGGCTAAAATGCTGTATACCCGTGTGCTCTGATTTGGGTGCACATTAAAGAACCCCTGGCTTGTCGAAATTTCCGGAGCCCTTCACTACGGCGTCTCTTGTAATCATATGGTAGCTCTGGGACGTTAAACCCGACGCATAAATCAAGTCATTCTTTATTTCTTTTATTTTTGTCTACCATGTTCTCATGTCGTGTATCAATGACGTACCGCGGTATCTATAGCGCGAAGTATTGAAACCCTAATCTTCCTTCCACGTATCACAGCCGACACGAATCGACTACGTCACAGTTACTAAGTGGGCTAGCCCGATTCGAGCATAGTCGTAGTGCACTCTTGGTTGAGAACCGCAACGCGCGAATTGCTTCCCAGCTATACTCGCCGCCGTCTTTCGCATGAGAAATCTTGCGAGGCTGCGACCAACTCTGAGCGAGCGAAGTCGAGGGCCATTCACCCGCGAAGTCTGCGGCAATGTTTCACCTCAGCAGCTCGACCGTCTACAACTTCGAACTTCTTCCTGCGTTCAACTTTCGCCCAGAGGACAACCGCTCAGCGGGACGGGACCACTGCGCGGCAGAACTCGAACCTTTAACCAATGGAGGGGGCGTGAACTGATGCGCCGAGCCCAGGTAAACGTGGAACATTTTGTTTGGTGTTCAGTCCGTCGCTGTTAACTGTTAGTTTACTACCTTTCCCGAAAATAACGGCTGTATGGAGGCTATAATTCTGTTTGAAGGTATCTTTAGTAAATCACACATTTTGTTTTTTTTTTTCGGCTATCTAACCTCAAACTTGAGTAGAAAAGTTTCGTTTCGCACGCATCATTTCCAGATTTTAACGTAACTTCGTTATTTTTTGTTCACAACACAAACTATTAGGGTTACCGTTGGTGGCTACTTCGCGCCAAATTGGCTACTTTTAGACCCGTTGGATGACGAAAATTTTCTGTTGGTGCCATGGAATTTATTCACTGGGTACTTTCAAATTTTCAGTTTTACATTTTCGAAATGATTTTACTTCATCATCAATAGTACACATTATGTTCGTAATACCGCTCCTATTCCATTTGGCTGTAAATTTGGCGATAACATTAAATGACATGAATACTTCGGCTACATTTGACTTGAGTTCTGGTACTTTTTCAATTACTGCGAACGGCAACACTGCACAACTGTCTCCATGTATGTGGCTAACCTCCCTGACCTTCCTCATCTACATGTGTACATGGTGTCTCAGCTAAAAAGCACCAAGTAATGAAAAAAAATATATATATACGTGAGCGCTACGCGTCTTCAATTGGCACAGCATTGTTCTGAGCCATAGAGCACGCCAAATCTTAAATGAACTTCTTAAATAGGGACTCTAGAGAATAATCCTAAGTACAGCGCTTGTAGCGCTCAACTAGACATAATGAAATCTTCAATGTGAAGTAAGAAAACAGGGTTTGCTTAATTTTTTTCCCGTCTTTGTTTAATGTGTACGAAATTCGAAAAGTACCACGTGATTGCCGTATAACGCGTGGCGTTATTAGTGCCCTCCCGTGTAAGCTCAACCCCAGGTGGTCAAAATTACCGGAGCCCTCCACTACGGCGTCTCTCATAATCATATGGTGGTTTTGGGACGTTAAACCCCACAAATCAATCAATCCCGTGTAAGCTCAAAAAGTTATCAAAGACTGCTCACACACGAAAGCCGCTTGAACAGGCTATCGGTGAATACGATGGATGTTAAGAAATAGTAGGATAGTACACATAAAAAATGATTAAAAAGCGGTAACCACGTGCAAACGTGATACGAGACCGGAGGTAGCATTCAATGCATTGACGGCATTTTTTTTTTCTTTTCGGACGAACGATAAACGTGATGGAGGGGGAGAGGGTGACATGTATACCCTAGGTATACATGTCACTCGCTCGCGTGCTGAAATCACGATACGATTGTATACCCTATTGGAGGCATTAATTCCGTAGCGGCATTAATTCCTCTAATTGGCGCGATTGGCGCGAGTTAACTCGGTCACCTGGCTACGCCCACTCGGGGACGGTCAGGTTAAACCTGACCACCCGGGCCTTCTGGACGGCTAGGATTTGAGAGGTCAGGTCCCGCGCCTTAATCAGCTTGTCCATTTTCTCTTGGTGGAAAGCGGGACAGGGAAATGCACAACCGCACAGGAGATGCTCGAAGTCCGCATAACCAACACACGAGGGGGCAATCCGGGCTTGAGAACCGCTCGGCATATCTTGTGGGCAATACCGCAGGGCTCGGGTAGGTTCTTGTTTGGAGCAGTCTGCTTGGGCCCTGCCCAGCGAGGAGTGTGGCAGGGGCAGCACTCTCCTTGAGGGATGATGGCGCTTGCATAACTCGTTGTGCGTGCAGAGATATCTCGGGTTGTCCAGGAGTTGACGCTTTACCCGGCCCACGGTCAGTCAAATCTTGTGCAGGCGAGTACCCCGCGGTGGCGGTCTAGTGGCTAAGGCACTCGGCTGCTGACCTGCAGTTCGCGGGATCGAATCCCGGCTGCGGCGGCTGTTTCCGATGGAGCCAGAAATGTTGTAGCCCCGTGTGCTCAGATTTGGGTGCACGTTAAAGAACCCCAGGTGGTCGAAATTTCCGGAGCCCTCCACTACGGCGTCTCTCGTAATCATATGGTGGTTTTGGGACGTTAAACCCTACATATAAATCAATCAATCAAACAATCAATTGTGCAGGTGAGTGCGCCTTCTCGTTCGGATTGATCGAAGCATCCTCAATGGTTTCAAGGTGTGCATGTGCACGTATAAAACGGCAGAAATCATCACTTTGCCTTTTCGATTGTCGTTACGCCGATATGTATGCATTAATTAGGAATCCAGGGCGGATCAGTTGCATCCCGTGTTGCGCGTAACCTTCTTAAGTTAGCTTAGTTATTTCAATTACTCCTGTAAACCTGAACCACTGCTCGCGTCAAGTTGACACGAAATGAAAAATCTGATAAGTGGCGGGTGAACTGGTCAAGAATTTAGTGCCGCTTTAATTCCTACTGAAACGTTCCATATGCGAGTCCAATAATTCCATATGTTTCCATAAAGAATGCATATGTTTCCTATGTATTTTTCATATATTTCCGTAAGATTCTTACGGAAACATACGGAATTATTGGACATCGCATCAGTAGGATAACTGATACTCATTCAGTGTGAGGCTCACGGTCCGGCTTTATGCTCTTCCATAGTAGAGTGCTTCTCTAAATCGTTTACCACTTTTTCTAAACACACACACACACAGATGACCATGGTGAAAGCACCCTCTACATTTTATGCAACAGCTGTTGCATTTTGTAAAGAGAGCTACAGTGGCAATATTTTCGCCGTTTAACTGTGGCCGCTGGCGGCATCATTCGCCACGTGAACTGGAACGACGTCAGTGGAGGAACTAGCGAAACCACGTTTCCAGTTGAGAGCTCGGCAAGCCCAACTAAACAGGCTTATACGGAAAGCGTATAAGGTGGCATTTGGGATACCCCGAAATATCTCGACAGAGCGCCTCCTTAGTCTTGGGCTGCATAACACTTTGGAAGAACTTCTTGAAGCGCATCTTACGGCGCAAATTAACCGATTCACGGGAAAGCGAGATCCTTGCCAGGGAAGTTGGGTCCTTGCTGAAATCGGTCACGTGGTATCTCCTACGGGTAACAATCCTGCCGTCCCCCCCCCTCCCAACATCGGAAAGAAATTCATCATAAAACCACTGCCAAAGAACATAATGACCAACCACCGCGACGGCAGTAGGAAAGCTAGGGCCCAATCCTGGCACAATACGTACGTGTGTAACCCAACCGTTGCGTACGTTGGCGCCGCCCAGTATCGAGAATTTACCAAAGCATATGCAATAAGCGTATTCATTCTCCCCGGCAAGGTCAATTCACTTCGAATTAAAACGGCTGCTTCAGTCCATGTGCTTAACAGGACCGAAGCCGATGAAGCGGCGCTAGCGCTAGCAGGAGGAGTCGGATTGGCTACTAGCCCCGGCGACTTCACCGACTCGGCGATTCACCGTCGTAGTTGAACTCAATGTATACTCTGTATCCCGGGCACTATACGCAAAAAACGGCATTCGTCATTTTATATTGGACCCACTTTTGTGAAAACACGCAATTAATGCTGCTTTTTAAGGAATCTCTGAATTTTACGAAGTCTGGTGAACAAAAGGCTGTCGCGAAATGTTTTCACTCTCCACCTCAGTGGCGTCTGGCCGCCATCGCTGGCGGCCATAATGTAAACAAGCAGTCACCTCTGTGCACGTGTGTGCATGTATCTCTACAGCGAAGACATCAAGCGGGCTATTTTTTTTGTTTTGTTTTAAGTTCACGATCAAGTGTCTCTTTCTAGCTTATGCTCATTTTTTGCACCGCCACTAACAAAAAAAAAAAAACTAAATGCATGGCTGTAGCGTAATTGACGTCATCGTTAAGCGGCTCTGCCATGTTTGCTACACCACAAGTGCGGGAGCAGCACAACTTCGAAAACTTGTTGGGCGCGGGAAACACCAACGTGACACAATGCCTGTTAGCAACTTTCTCGAGTAGATGTGTGACCTTATGTAAATAAGGCATCTCAACAGGCCTGAATGGTTCACGTTCACAGTCCGCGTTCTTACTGGTTTTTCTTTTCTGAAGCAGGTAATCGGCTGTGGTCGTGAGGAGCATCATGTAACTCTCGAAGTTGTGCTCCCGGTCTTGCGGTAATTGATTGATTGATTCATTGATTCGTGGGGTTTAACGTCCCAAAACCACAATATGATTATGCGAGACGCCGTAGTGGAGGGCTCCGGAAATTTCGACCACCTGGGGTTCTTTAACGTGCGCCCAAATCTGAGCACACGGGCCTACAACATTTCCGCCTCCATCGGAAATGCAGCCGCCGCAGCCGGGATTTGATCCCGCCACCTGCGGGTCAGCAGCCGAGTACCTTAGCCACTAGACCACCGCGGCGGGGCGTGGGTATTGCGGTATAGTAGCCAACATGGGTGCCAAATGAAACACGGTGTCTGTTACATTGCTTGCATCACCTGTGTGGTATATGCGATACCTCTGGTATGTGGCAGGTCCTACATCAGGAAAACGGGACGATGCATGAACGAGCGTCTTAAGGAACATGCGCAAAAAAATTAGCTAACAAAGTAGACAAAGGGGCACATCTTGTTGGTCATTTGAATTCCTGCCTCGATTGTTCAGGGCAGTTTTACGATACGCTGTGTCTAGGCAGATTAAGGAATTAAGATGCGCGGCTTCCTTTGAAAGCATATCGCATTAAGAAAAACGCAGCTAATTCTATACCGGCGATCCCTTCATTTCTTTGCATGCCACTGAATATGAATTTTCGCGTGCACACTTTGGTTAGAATATGGTATTTTACGTGTGTAATATGACACTACGCGTGTGCATTCAAGCGTTGTGGTGTGACGTATTATGGAATTTTATCTGTTATTACGTACACAATACGAAGCTGTGCGTGCGCATGCAATGTTTCGTTTTTTTCGGCATATATATATATATGCGATGCTGTGAGAAGAATAAAGCAGTTGTTCATTTGGCGTCAATCTATTTCTTTCCTTACCTTCTTTTTATTATTTTTATTTTTTCCGTGTTGTTTGCGCCAGAGAAGATCTGTTCCCATTTTGCTACGCACCAACTAGACCCAACGCAAGTTTTACTGTAGTCACCGTAGCATAGAGAAAACTTAGCCCCCCCTCCCCCCCCTCCCCCCCCCCTCACCCTTCAGTGACCCAACGCAAGTTTTACTGTAGTCACCGTAGTATAAGAAGGACTTCGCCCCCCCCCCTCCAAGGGACCCAACGGAAGTTTTACTGTAGTCACCATAGTATAAAAGACTAAGCCCCCCCCCCCCCCCTAGCCACTGCCCCCCTTCCTATCGCGTCAATGTACCATGCGTATGGTGGCATCTAGTCACCGTAGTATGGCGTTGACTTTAGGCCCCCTCTTATCTGTCAAAGGGGGATGCCCCCCTGCTACCCAGTGCCCTTCCGTTCGCGCGCCTATGAATGTAAGCGCCAACTCGGCCAAAAAGAAGTCCTTCAGGAACTGCGCAACAGCCTCGGTGCGTTGACCGGACAGATGGTGTGGCGACTGGTTGTGTCCGGTTGCTATGGGGGTCGGCGGAGCCAGCTGCTTCATCGCAGTCACGCTCGAAGCTTTGTTGTTTCTTCCTGTTTCACTCCGGCAGCGCGGATACGAAGGCGAGGCGAAGAAGTCGACAAGAAGCCGGCAGCGACGGCGGGTATTTTCGGACGCACCGTATTGCTTTACCAAAAAACCCCGCCCTGGTGTTCTCCTTTCGCTACTGAGCTCGAGGTCTTGGGTTCGATTGCCGACAGCGGTGAACGCGTTTCGATGGTCGTGAAATGCAAAGAAAAAAAAAAGTGGCTAAGCACTAGTGGTGGCAAGAGCAAAGGAAGTGCGCACATGGGTGGCCCCTCTTATTTCCATATCGTTCTTTCCTAGTTTCTCTTCTCTTCTTTCTTTCTCTATTGCTGCTGTTTTCTAATTTGTGTTTTTTATACACCTTTCCCATTGTCTTTCTAAAGTTTTCCCTCTTCCCTTCTTTGTTCCTTTCTTTCGTTTTGTGTAGATCTTTTTTTCTAATTGTGGTATTTTTGTTTCTCTCTCTGTCTTAATTTTCTTTCTTTACTTCTATCGCTTTCCTTGTGTTTTTCCCTGTTTTTCTCTCTCTCTCTCTCTTCTCTTTCACCAGTTGTACGTGCTCCACTTTGCCGCGCAGAGTTTTTTTTTTTTTAACGCTCGCGCGTGCTGTATTACTTGGTAGTGGAATTTATCCAATTTCCTTTGCGCATACCCGCCTGTGGAGCTTTTTAGCAACACCGCACAAACGACACCGAGCAACAACAGCGTTGTTGTTAGCGAAAAAAAAAAAAAACGTTCGCAGATATCAGCACGTTCAGAAAACCCGGTTGGTCCGAAATTAACCCGCAATCGTAAACTACGACTAACCACATAATCACGCCATTTTTTCGGCAATAAGTTCCGTGAAATCTAATCAAATTGAACATCCGTACATGCAAGCAGTTGCACGGTTTTTGAGAGGACCGTATGACGTTACCCGAGAGTCGGTCATCCCTCGCTCACTTCGTAGGAGTGTGCTATGTCCACGGCAGTATTCACGGGGGTGCCCCTACTCTAGTATGTCAATGTATGGTAGTGACTTTGCGCCTTCCCCTCCCCCCACCCACTCTCCTAGTTCCAGCGCCCCGCTCCCTATTACGACAATAACGTTACTGAATAAGGCTGACTTCAGCACCTCCCACCCTTCATAGGTTACTAAGGGGGGCGGGGGGGTTGCCCCCTGTGCGCAGGCCTATGTGTGTAAGTGTAGTGTACGAGTGTAGATTATCATACAGAGAAACGAAGCCAGCGCGTTGCATTTCAAGTTTCCCGCTCCGCGAGAGCGCGAGCCTGAGGAAGTTAGACGAACTCGGAAAAAGAAGAGCGCCTCGTTCTGGCAGAGAGCGAGCGGGTCGATTGACGGTTGAGAGAGAAATACCGGAAGTTAGAGCAAGCGTGAGCGTGTCTCTTCGCTTCATCACTGTTCATACGTCACTGCCGGTTGGTGCGAGCGTTCTCGGAGCACAAGGAAAAAGAGTAATTGAGCACAGCGCGCCAACAACCTGCTTTCAAAACCGGAATGCGCTGCCGCAACCTCGCATTTGGCATCGCTCCTCCGTGAGCGACGCCGTGAACTGTGCACTCCGCCGCGGCCGCTCTTTATATCTCACTTTCACTTGTTCTAATAGTTCACGAGCTGCTTGTTAGTCATAATAGCAGAAGAGTCGCATATAAAGAAGGGGTTCTCATTGTCGAGTACCCTACGTCGAAGTGTTTCGTTTGGTGTTTCTATAAGGCTATGAAGGCGGTGTGCGCGCGTTAGCAGACGACAAAACTCTGTGCGCTCTTTTGCAGACATCACCGGTTTCGTTTGTGCCATACGGATACGTCGCCAAGCGTTCGGTGTATGCGAACCCGGGGCTACGGACTCGTCGGTTTTCGGAACGCACTCCGAGGCAAGGAGGTGCCGCACTTGCCATTGCGGTTCCGTTCCTAATGCTATCGAGGATCGGAGGCCGTCACAAGAGTTGGTCCACCATGTCGTCTGCCATCGGCGTGCTAGCAGACGACAGCGGCTCGTTTCGCAACAGAGACGGGCACAAGATCTCTTGCGTCACCTGGAGTCCCGAAGTTGAGCCCAGGTATGTTTCATTTCGCGCTAAATTAAGCAAGCTATATATAGTTTCATGTGTCAACTGCTTTGCTTCAGTACAGTGGCGACAATCGTTCAGAGTATTTCAACTAACTTGCACGTTGTATAAAAAAAAAAAACAATAAAGAAAGCTTGCGATATGAGCGTGAATTGGGCAAGTCTCATTCTCAGACGTCTGCAGCACGTCAAGATATGTTTTTCCAATCCACCCAGCTGCATAGTAAAGATGGCTTGACTAACCTTTGAAATATATAACCCCAACAAGAAATATGGTGTAGAAAATGTCAAACGCTTCTGTAGCAACGTCGTTTTATTTCATGTGTGCTAAAATAACTGCATTGCTTAACTTTTTTTCACCTTTCGTTCAGTATGTGAAATTATTTTCTTGGCGTGAGTCAGCTGAAACAGCCCGTATAGCTCATTTCGTAAGTCCGTCAGAAGGCTATCATCAGTACCTGAACGCAGTTTTTGATAGCATTTTTTTTTCAAAACCCCATTTGGGCGTCATGTGTTCGGAATAGCATGTTCCAGATCTATCTGTATAAGCGTGTTTGCTTTATAAGAGCTTTTTTATGGGCTACACACAAAATGAAGTCCAGCCTCCGACTTGTTGGAATGCGTCTCGCGAGATGCAATTTGTTTCGTTTTGTCACTTTGTATGAAACCAGAAAGTTTGTCACGATTTTGAGCTGACGTGGATGGCGATTTTCGAAGAAATTCGTGTATACGGTTTCTATCAGATTTTCTCGCCGCTCACAGTTGACTTAGGCCTGAATAGTGGATCTTTCTGTGGTTTGTTACAAAGCATAAAGCTTCGCAACAAACCCTTCACCAGTGCATTGCTTTCAATAGACAGTGAACTGTTTGTTACGAATCGATTAGTTGTTCTAATGGTCAGTAAAAGTAATAATATTCCGCGAATAATATACTGGCTGCATCACTTATTTCGTCACCAGACACTCGATTTTCGTTGTGAGAAATTTAAGGTGGTATTATACGATTTCTCGCATATATGCGAGTGCGCCATAACTGCTACGAAATCGCCTTTCGATCAGGCAAGGGTCATATTGCGCCTATCGGATGAAAGAATTGAACCGCCGTCTGTGAGTACGTGCGCAAGCCACACGATTCACCGCGTACATTGCGATGACTTCAGACAAAAAAAAAGAAAAGAAGCAAAAGAAAACGTCGTTGCTATCAGTTGCATCACGCAGAAAATATCTTAACGTAGTGTCGCTACCAAAGTTGCCACATCTAACGATACGCAGCTACGCGCGTTAAGTGAATGCTGAATCAGCAGGAAGTGGGCGGAACGCGCTCGAAGTTGCACAACTGTTGTTGTCGCTGCTCGCGCAACTGGCGAAAAGAAACGATTGATTTGTGGGGTTTAACGTCCCAAAACCAGCATATGATTATGAGAGACGCCGTAGTGGAGGGCTCCGCAAATTTCGACCACCTGGGGTTCTTTAACGTGCACCCAAATCTGAGCACACGGGCCTACATTACCGCCTCCATCGGAAATGCAGCCGCCGCAGCCGGGATTTGAACCCGCGACCTGCGGGTCAGCAGCCGAGTACCTTAGCCACTAGACCACCGCGGCGGGGCAACTGGCGAAAAGAAACCGCAGTCGCTTACGCAGTGCTTTTGCCAGGGAGGATAGATAAATCCGGCAGCGTGAAAACTTAACTGGTCCGCTGCTCCGGCACTGATAGATTTAGGGCGAGATAACGTTCATTAAAGGCTTACACACTTGCCTCATTTGCCTTTGACCTTTATCTGTGATCGAAAAGGTTTGTCACGGTAGGCGCGAATAACCGAATGACGTATCGGACATCTCGAAAACGGCCGCTATATTTGAGCCCCAGGTGGTCGAAATTTCCGGAGCCCTCCACTACGGCGTCTCTCATAATCATATGGTGGTTTTGGGACGATAAACCCCACAAATCAATCAACCAATCAATTATATTTCAGCGCGGGGGTGACGTTTGTCCGATGTCGGCTTCCTTCGCGATATTGTGACGTCAGTCCACGCGTTCTGACCACGCGGTGGCGAACCTTGGGGAATAAAGCCAAGAACAATACGACTGCCTAAAATTACTGCCTCCAGGTAGTCTCAAGGGTTCGACCTTTTCCCGTGCTTGTTTATCTGTTTGGCGACCTTGTTTACCTTCGCTGGGTGAACGTCATCAAATGTGGCTTTCGGGTCCGGGTGCAAGGAGGAAAGAAAAAAAAGGCCATATGGTTGTAATGTCTCTATGCTGAGCGCCCCGCCGCGGTGGTCTAGTGGCTAAGGTACTCGGCTGCTGACCCGCAGGGCGCGGGTTCGAATCCCGGCTGCGGCGGCTGCATTTCCGATGGAGGCGGAAATGTTGTAGGCCCGTGTGCTCAGATTTGGGTGCACGTTAAAGAACCCCAGGTGGTCTAAATTTCCGGAGCCCTCCACTACGGCGTCTCTCATAATCATATGGTGGTTTTGGGACGTTAAACCCCACATATCAATCAATCTCTATGCTGAGCGTACGCTTAAAACACGGGGAATGCGAGGAGGGGTTGCGCAACTAAGCAATAAAGCTACCAATCTGGACAGTGGAGTCTTTAATACCTTGATTGCTATCAGTTAACGCGGCGCTCTAGTCCACGTTCGAGTGAAAAAAAAAATCCGAAGTTCTTTCGGCTTGCTTTTTGTGAACAGGTATTAGGAAGGAATACAAATTGGAGAAGGCAAGGATGGTTAACCATACAGCAGTCCGGTATAGCTACACTTCGCCGGGGGAAAGGGGTAAGGGGAGTAAAAAGATAAGACAGATAGAGAGGAGTGCAAGAAAGGGAAAATAAAGGGAAAAAGTGATAAACAAATACGCTTACACTTGTGTGGCGTTAATGGTACTGTACAATAGCCACAGACGCCCATATAGGCCCGCATAGTCCTTAAAGAAACACACACACAAACAATAGCGCTTTAACTGCCTTGTTGGCCGACGAGAGATGGGGACGGTGATCCAGTATAGTAACTGCACGTAGAGCGGCCGATCGTCCAATCGTGGCGTCATATCAGAAAGAGTTCGTCTTACAGATGCAAATCGGGAGCAGCGGCGTAAAGCGCATGATCAATGCCTCCTTCGGTGTGCCGCAGACCTCGCACGCTTAACGGTCAGTCACTCCAATTGATGATGCGCATACCTTCGTAATGGCAATCCCCAACTGTAAAGCCGGCATGGAAGTGAAACTTCACCCTGTAAAACCCCTGTGGAGGTCGGAGCTACAGCGCAGGGTTTATTTGGAGTCCTTGTGTGCCTTGTACACTTGGCGTGTTCTACTCCCGCAAACGTTTTATACCGATTGTTGAATGACCGCAATGAAACAAATGCCTCGACATTCGCCGTTAAAAAAGAAAAGAAAAAGTTATTCGCCAAAATTACCAGCTAATGTACAAAGAATACTTCTGCAACAACACCTTCCGTTTTTCATTTTTTCCCTCGCGTAATAAGAGAATGGAACTCAATTACTGCAGCAGCAACCAACAATTCGGAAATTTCTAGAAAGTTTTGAAAATCTCATATTCGTGCTTCCCAGGATGCATGAGCTAACTTACTTGGGTACGAGTGAAAGCATTCGCACTCTAGTATTTTATTATTTTATAGTCTTTTGGTTTTGTGTAGGCAATGTATTGTTATGTTCGCATGTCAAGTACATTGGCAATCACCATGATCACGACAATTGCATGTAAGGATGTCGTCACTCTTGCGTGCGTTACATTCCTGTATGGTCTTTATTGCCATTGCATTACCTTGCTTGTACAATGTTTGTCTTTTTACACTCTTGTAATAACCTTCGTGTAAGGTTAAAAAAGTTCTGTAAATAAATAAAGTAATTGATTTCATTGATATGTGGGGTGTAATGTCCCAAAACTATCATATATTTATGAGAGACGCCGTAGTGGAGGGCTCCGATAATTTTCACCACCTGGGGTTCTTTAACGTGCACCCAAATCTGAGCACACGGGCCTACAACATTTCCGCCTCCATCGGAAATGCAGCCGCCGCAGCCGGATTGGATCCCGCGGCCTGCGGGTCAGCAGCCGAGTACCTTAGCCACTAGACTACCGCGGCGGGGCAAATAAATAAAATGACACTTTGAGCCAGCTATATAAGTCACGAAGCTCCCTAGCCGCCTTTGTCTTAGACAGATGAACTCGGAACGGTGCTCTCTTGTTCGTGAGGTGCATAAGCTGCGTCATCTGCAGAAACGTTGCCACTCATCCCGCAGTGACCACGTGGCCACTCAATGTTAACCTCGAGGCCATTTTCTTGGACGCGGTGATGAATGCTAAGAATTTCGTGTGCAGGCTGTTCGTGGCAGATTCCCTCGTCGGAGAGCGGACCGCACACATTTTAATGCCGGTTTTGAGTCGAAGAAAACAGCCCGCTCGCTCGGTCTCTCAGAATGAATGCACTCTCTATGGGCACAATGCAGAGCCGTAGGTTCTGCCACCGTAGATGTAGTTACACGGGACATTTTGAGTCGTGGTGCTATTTCTCGGGCTGGTATCACCACAGCGACGCCAGAACTGGACGCAGTGGTTGACCTGGGATAGTTTAAGTCGATGTGCTACTTCTCGCGTTGGTGTCACCACGGCACCACCAGAACTGGACGCAGTGGTCGACCTGGGATAGCTTAAGTCGATGTGCCGCTTCTCGCGTCGGTGTCACCATGGCACCGCCAGAACTGGACACAGTGCTCGACCTGTCGGTGAAATTGTGCACGCGCTTGTTGTAAGTTGCGTGCAAGAAAAGTAGGATCTATTGTTTTAGCGCTGGTGCAGGTAAAGCTGATTTCTTCTGCACTGCTGGAATTGAGACGTATTTTTGCTGAAGGTACAAGAACCACAGAGGAAACACCGGCTTCTGCGCAGGCGATTACCATGTCGTAAACGACGCACGACAGGCATAGACAATTTCACTAAGTGGTGTACAGGGTCTTTCGGCAGTC